AATGACAAAAAATTACTGTAAAAAATTTAAGGATATTTTCTGTAAAATTAAGTTTTTTTTTTACAGTGTGGGTCACCGGATACTGTGACTAGTGTGTTTCAGAAGTTCCTTTGCAATTGTTTGTCTCAAAAGAAGCAAGATGAATCTGTAATCACACTCTACACTAAAAGGTGATTATTTACTTTAAAGGGAAGCTATTGTGCTCCTTTTGACAAGATGTAGGTCTCCCTGAGTGTGTATATTGGCCCATTTCCATTGAGTAGTACAGTACGGTATGGGAGGGGTCGGTACGGTTCACCTTTATCAGGCTTACATTTCCAATGCTAAAAGGGTGCCAATGGTAGTCTTCTGATGGGTGTGATGTACGATAGAAAGTTTCAGTCAGCGTCATTCTCACTCAAGGAAATGTCAAAGTAAAGCTGTACGGGTCATTCACATACCATAAGAGAAGCACTTCTCGCAACACAGATGCTTTATACACATTAACACTTGTGTATAAATGTTCATTATTACTAAGCTTTCTCTGAACATGACTTGATTACAACTGCAGATCAATGAGAGTGTGAAATAGCCTGCTGTAAAATAAATAAATGAACATATATGAACACATACAGACCCTTAAAGTCTCTGATGTTACCAATTACAGAAAAACTACACACAGCAGACATTTAGTCCTTATTTGGGTCCAAAAACAACACAACATATAGCCCACAGTCAGAGCAAACCTCTCATCTGTGTCTGTAATCTTCACCAGCACATGTAAACTCTTGTTAGAGAGTAATTCTGTCATTCAGAGTTCATAATAGTCCAAAAGGTGATGATAATAGTTAAACATGGCAGTTGGCTCATCTTTTAAGTTGCTGAAAGAATCATTTGCTCGTTTGTTTTTTCCGGCTTCTCCTTTGTTTTTTCGCGCGTCAGTCTTGCGTTTGTTAGTTTTTGACAGGATCAGATGTCAGAAGCACTTCAATAATCAAGCGCATCATCAGCTAAATGAAAGTGAAGAGCGGGGGAGCGAGTGGGTGGGTTTCGGAGGGAATCACAAACGAAAGTGGGGGAGGGGTGGGGGAATCGTGGACGAAAGTGAATGTCTCTGGGGGCCCCCTAAATGTGTGGGCCCTTAGAGTCGACCTAACTCTACCCCCTCTTAACTAGGTTAATTAGGTTAGCTAGGCAGGTTAGGGTAATTAGGCAAGTTATTGTATAACGATGTATTGTATAACGATGACTATAAAAAATTTCTTAAAGGGGCTAATAATATTGACTTTAAAATAGTTATTTAAAATAATGAAGAACTGCTTTTATTCTAGCCGAAATAAAAAAATAAGACTTTCTCCAAAAGAAAAAAAATATGATATTTTTTTAACTTCATTTGGAAAATATTTATTGATCATCAATTTATCGTCAAGTAGTGGAAACATGTCAGAGTATTATATATTATATACAGATTAAGTCAAAATTATTTACCCTCCTGTGAATTTTTTTCCTCTTCAAATATTTCCTAAATGATGTTGAACAGATTCAGAAATTTTTCACAGTATTTCCTATAATGTTTTTTCTTCTGGAGAAAGTCTTATTTGTTTTATTTCGGCTAGAATAAAAGAATTTTATAATTTTTTAAAACCATTTTAAGGTCAATATTATTAGTCCATCTAAGCAATATTTGTTTTGGATTGTCTCCAGAATAAACCACTGTTCTACAATAACCTGCCTAGTTAAGCCTTTAAATGTCACTTTAAGCTGTATAGAAGTGTCTTGAAGAATATCTAGTCTAATATTATTTACTGTCATTATGGTAAAGATAAAATAAATCAGTTATTAGAGATGAGTTATTAAAACTATTATGATTAGAAATCTGTTGAACAAAATCTGCTCTCCGTTAAACAGAAATTGGGAAAAATATTCAGGGGGGCTAATAAATCTGCCTTCAATTGTATAAAACACTGTCTTCGATACCTAATGTCTGTCGAAGTAGCTCTGTGTGTCAGAATTATCCCTCAAAACATTGAAACTTTTGGAAACAAGCATCTCTGCTTGCTCTCTTGGCTCTGTCCGGTCTGTTTAAAGAACTGACCGACACTGAAAAAGCAGCTATTGATCCATCTAGAGACTATAATCTACAGGAACTTGAACTGGCAGGAGAGAAACAACTGGCAGCCGATACCTAATTACAGCAAGTCAGGTGTGTGTGTTTGCGTTTTCATGTCAGACAAAAGATAACCAAAAGAAGAGGAGGAACTAGAATCGACGAATGCCTTTCTCTTTGTCGTGGTTGTAAAAAGAAAAGAAATAGTCTGAATCTTTCATACATTCTGCTTTGACAAAGGAGGCTTTTATCTTGGTCCCATTAGCATTTTTGGCACTGGAGCAATTTACATTTTTATAGCATAATTAATGAACAAGAAAGTCATTTACATTTTTTTTTTCCTCTGTTCGCTGCCACATTGTGTGGAGCGTATTTCATTTCAGAGGCCAGTATTTGGGAATTTGGACTCTCTCTGTGTGTGTGTGAAGGAAAGGGAAACACAAGGTGAGAGGATGAAGGCTCTGCTCTGCTTTAAACACATGCGGGCGGACAGGAGCTCCTCTTTTAGGTGCAAATGTAAGGTAATGTGAACGGCACATCGTCTGGCTCTCGCATCAAACAGGAGGCGGATCCCAAACACTAATTAAGCCATTTAAACCTCCCTAAAGTAAAGTCGTACGGGATTGATGCTGTTTTAAAACCCCGTCCCATCCAATTGAAATGACATTTGAGCTTGATTATGATGTTTACATGACGGCTGATTATCTCGTCTGATTGATAACATCTCATTAAAAGTAAACGTAGTCACTGTCATCAAAATATCCTGTACTAATACTGATAAGTGCATTGATGTTCACTGTATTAGCAGTGGTGAGCTTCACATGCCTCGTTTTTAAGATGACAGGTCTATAAATATATGAATATTTAGTTGGATGTTCCCTCAGGATACAGGTGCAGAGCCTGTTTATAGCAGGTGTTACATGAGCCAAGTTTTAATTAAGAAAAAGATCAATCAAGGGTTTAAAAAAACATGTCTTTGTTGTGCCATATATTGTCACAGAAATTGTTGCGATGAGAGATGTAATTGTCATTTTGAGATGGACACGGATTATATAATGATTATATAACCCAACATAATAATGCAGCCATCAACACTTTCAAATCTGTATCATTCTTAAGGTTATTTAGGTATTATATTTTGTTAAAAAGATAAATGTCCTATAATATTAAATGTCCCATTAGGTAAATGCAGGGTTCATACACATTTTTACTACTAAAAATTCCTTTTCCAGAAATTTCAAGTACATTTTTTCATGACATAATGTTTCACAGTTGAAGTCAGAATTATTAGCCCCCCTGAATTATTAGACCGCTTGTTTATTTTTTCCCCCAATTTCTGTTTAACGTTGAGCAGATTTTTCTCAACACATTTCTAAACATAATAGCTTTAATAACTTATTTCTAATAATGGATTTATTTTATCTTTGCCATAATGACTGTAAATAATATTAGACTAGATATTCTTCAAGACACTTCTATACAGCTTAAAGTGACATTTAAAGGCTTAACTAGGTTAATTAGGCAGGTTAGGGTAATTAGGCAAGTGATTGTATAACAGTGGTTTGTTATGTAGACTATTGAAAAAATATATAGCTTAAAGGGGCAAATAATATTGACCATAAAATTGTTTTTAAAAAAATAAAAACTGCTTTTATTCTAGCCGAATTAAATGAATAAGTCTTTCTCCAGAAAAAAAATATTATAAGACATACTGTGAAAATTTCCCTGCTCTGTTAAACATAATTTGGGAAATATTTAAAATATAATAAAATAAATCAAAGAGGAGCGAATAATTCTGACTTCAACTGTATCTATATGACACATTTTGATATATATAGTAGTAAACTTATCAAATATTATCATGTAACATACCTTTAAACAATATTTAAATCACTTTTTGGCATGGAAATGCACCATTTTAACCCATATAATCTATTGCTGGCTATTCCTACAAATAGACCTATGCAAGACTTTTGGTTTTGTGGTCCAGGGTCACATGTGAGATTTACAGGGACTCTCCATGAAACCATTAAAATACAGACTAGTAGCATATTTCTAAAAACTCCACATTTGTGTTTTAAAGCTCCATTCGCTTTTGCAATTATTGCTTTATTAATATTACAAAAATAAAGCTGAAATGACTGCCAGCATCTACTCACTCTTTAACTTTTCAAAAGCTATTTGAGTTCCAGTATTATTTCTGTTGAACACAAAATAAGTTATTTTGAAGAATGCTGGTTAATGCTACCCCCCATTGACTTTGATAGTAATCTTCTGTCCATGTAATTTAATGTGAAGCATCAGTCAGCTTCTTTATTCGTGTTTAACAGAAGAAAGAAACTCATTAAAATGTTTAAAACTACAAGAGGTTTCAGCCACTGCTGAATGATTTTTATTTTTGGGGTGAACTATCCCTCACTGTAATAAATGTTGGGTTCCACACAATCTTTAACAAAAGTTAACTTATTAGTATTTACACATTAATTTAAAATAAAATTTGAATTATGTCGCTTCAGCTCAATTTGATTAAGTAGTTTGAACAAACAGCAAACGTCATTTATTTCTGAAAGTGTTTTACACTATAAAAAATACTAAGTTCAACACAATCCATTTGTGTGGGGACAACATGAAGGATTTAAGTTAGCTTATTAGTTCACTGAAAAAAATTGTTCAAAGATGATTGCTTGAATTTACATATTTTTTTTTAAGTTAAGGGGTTGTAAACAATTTGTTTATGTTGAATTTTAACAAATAAATTAGGTTGAACATTACTAAATTTAATTTGTTTGTTTAAATTCAACACAAATAGTTTGCAACTATTTTTTTTCAGTTGTCCAAAAAAATGAAGAATTGTGTTGTTTCGGCTTATTTTAAGTAGTTTAAACAAGCAGCAAACCTCATTTATTCTTCGAGTGCTTAAGAATTATTTTTAAAGTTTGTAAAACTACTGAAACGCATGCTCCATAGAGACTCAAATAGGTCCAGAGATGATGGGTCATTACCTAAAGCTCAGCTAGAGGTTGTGAAGTGATCTCCGCGAGCGCACATTATCACACTGTCAGCAGTGGACTGAGCTGCAGATGAGCACAGCTCGTCACGCGACCAGCTGAAGGAGCAGATCTGCTTTACGCACAGCAGAGCGCGGTGCTCTCGGTCACTCCGCACGGACACAAACACACGCCTGGCCGATGGGGCAGGAACACGGCGAGCTACTCGGCATCTAAGCGCGACAGAAGGAGCACCATGAGCCTGGAGGAACCGCGCGCTCTGCCATGCTGAGCATCCCCGCCGCGCTGCTGCTGCTGCTGGCGCTGTCCGCTCCCGCGCGCTGCTCCCACGGCTGGAGCGACGAGGATCTGCTGCTGCCGCCTATCAACTCCTCCGGCAGGTTCTTGGCCAGCCTGGAGGTGGATGTGGGATACTCGAAGAGGTCGGTGGAGGAGCCCGAAGCCTCCTCGCAGTGTAATGTAAGCGTGGAGAGGCTGCCGACCAAACTCGTGGCACGTTGGGACAGCAACTTCGGCTTCCAGTGCGACGTGCTTCTGTACACCACCAACAACCACGGAAAGGCGTTTTTTTCCGCCGCCTTCAACCGGGCGATCTCACCGGTGTACATCGAGCACCTGGGCGTCACAGGCGGCCAGCAGGAGTTCAGGCTGTGCGTCGGATGCGGGCTGTCCCGGTACCGGAGGTTCAGACGCGGCCGGTCAGAGGGTCCGCAGACCGGAGACTCGGTGCATTTCTGCTGCGTGGATTTTGCGCTGGACGAGCTGAAAGGGGACCGGAGCTGGAGGCTCAACCGCAAACCCATCGAGTCCACGCTGGTGGCCTGTTTCATGACTTTAGTCATCATCATATGGAGCGTCGCTGCCCTCATATGGCCGGTGCCCATAATCGCGGGATTTCTGCCCAACGGAATGGAGCAGAGAAGGCCGAGGTAATGGAGCAGCTGGAATCCTGGTAACACTTTACAATAACAGTACATACATAACGATGTCCTAATATCTAAACTAAACGTTATTATGAACTAATGGTGAGTTAAGGCATGCGCTATAAGAACTAAGCGAGTCACAGTTCATGTGTGAATAAGGGTTACTACATTAAAGTCTGCATTAAATTAAAATATGCTCTTCTTATTTTTATATTTAATAGCCTAGTAGTGTTTGTGCAATTCATTATTTTGGAAATATTAATTTGCTCTCAGAATTTTTTAAAATACACTATACCCTGTTATGGACGTGACATCTCTCCGATATGGATGTGAAATTTCCACTTGTGTAACTTCAGTAAATTAAATATAATAGTTTGAAAACACTGACCGAGACATTTAAGTATTTTTAAAGTACTGTAAAATACTTGCTTACGCAAAAATGTAGAAACGGTATGGCTATTTTGCTGAAAACTACATTTCTGTTCATGGAAAGGTTGACATTTGCATGGAATTGCTCATACACTTAAATATAAAATTTAATATATATATATATATATATATATATATATATATATATATATATATATACATATATATATATATATATATATATATATTTTTTTTTTTTTTTTTTTTTTTTTTGCGCTTTCTTAATGTTTTTACACCAGTGGGCCCAATTTTTTTTATCTCGCCTAGGGTCCCTCAACCCTATAGGCCAGCTCTCGTTTTTGCTTACACTGAAAAACCATGGAAATGTAACACATTAACACATTGGGATGGAAAAAAACAACGTGAATAAGCCCTTACTGTAAATAACCGTAATTAGCCATAACATACAGTTTAAACACATTAGTTCACGAGTTGTTAAGAATTAGTTCATAAAAATGTGCCCCTCCAAGTAAAGTCATGACCTAATAGTTGCACTTTTAGGGTGTTTTCACACCTGCCTCAATTTAGTTTTGTTTGATAAGAATTTACGTTAAGAAAACATTTTGTTTTTTACACTTTACCTTAATTTTGGCAGGTCGCAGAAAAAAATGGAGTTGTTTACTCTCGTATGTTGTGCACTTGAGTTTGCTGCGCGTTAATTCCGACCAGTCAAAATGCAGTTCAGGAAATTCATGTGATTGGATGTTGTCACATGACTGCTTTTTGATTAGTTTCAACTGGTCGGTTCAGAGCAGTCGGTCTGGTGTGAAACTGAACCAAAGTGACTGAAAAATGCGACAACGCTTTAGCTTTTGGTAACACTTGGTGTAGTATTAGTAGACTGCCTGCTTAATATCTGCTGATGCTGCTCCTTTAACACATTTAACTGACTATAAGTCACTTTGCAAGTACATGTCAACTTACACTAACCCCAATCTAACAGTCTACTAATAATCTAACGAGAATTAGTTGGCATGTAGATGCAGTGTAACTTAAATCAACAAACGGACCATCAAAATAAAGTGTGACCCCGTTTTTTAACCTTGGACCAGAAGAGCAGCACTCATAATAATATTTGAAGAGTTTAGATGCCAAAGCCTCTAAAAGCCATTTGATATTTTCTCCTGAAATTATCGTGTTCCTCAGACTCCTGTACGTAGGCTCAGCAATTTTACTTTAATAGTTACAAATAAGTTCTTTCCATTGCCTTTCAAATGAAATAACTGAACATAAACATGGGAGTGGCTGAGAAAAATACTCATTTTAGGACAACATTTCAGATGGCATTTAGAAGTTTTGGCATCTAACCTCTTCATTTAGACTTCACAACTAAGATCGATGCATTCTGATTGCATATAACATTTCCATCCATTTGGATTCTAAACAATAAACACAACTGAACCAATAAACGTTGTGTGATTTGATATTTGTAAGTTAAACATAAATTTAACAAATGAGGTTTATCTAATAATATAAATAAATCCAATGTGTTTGAAATGCTTCTTAAATATTTAAGGGAGCGTCATTTTTGCAGCAGATTATTAAGTAAACCAATCTCACAGAATTGAACTAATTGGATCTGCCTTTTTCCACCGCTTCGATACCATATTTACATCCTTTACCTAATAAATCATCAGATTTAGATATCTGTAACACACATCTTAAACCTCATTCAATCATTCATTTTCTCTTCGGCTTAGTCCCTTTATTAAACTGGGGTCGCCACAGGGGAATGAACCGTCAACTTATCCAGCATGTTTTACGCAGCGAATACACTTCCAGCCATGACTGGGAAACATACATACACACTCATTCACACACATACACTACGGACAATTTTAGCTTTCCCAATTTATCAATACCACATGTCTTTGGACATGAAACCGGAGCACCCGGAGGAAACACACGCGAACACGGGGAGAACTTGCAAACTCCATACAGAAATGCCAACTGACCCAGCCAAGGCTTGAACAAGCGACTTTTTTGCTGTGACGCGGCAGAGCTACCCACTGTGTCACTGCATCGCCACAACTTAAACTGATAAATTAAATAACATCTAAAGTTTACAAACAGTTAATGATAAACGTTATTGCAACACAATCTCACGGCAGTTCAGAACTTTTTCATTTAGTGGCTAACTCGTTTGAATTCGTACCATCTAATTCCTACAATTTAGCACTATTTGCTCACCCCCCAATGACAGTTGGGTTCAGGGGTGGGGTTTGGGTGCCACACCTCCTTTTTAAAATCGTACAATTTCGTATGACTGAACTCGTATAAATTCGTACACTGAAAAAAGTATTGCATGCAGAACTGTTGCAAACAATGTTTGTGTTGAATTTAAACAAACAAATTAAGTTTAGTAATGTTCAACTTAATTTGTTTGCTTAAATTCAGCCCAAATAAATTGTTTACCACCTCTTAACATAAAGAAATTGAGTAAATCCAAGGAATCGTCTTTGAATAATTTTTTTTCAGTGTACGAATTAGCCACTAAACTGACAAAACGTAAAATACTTATGTTTTCTCGTGAGATCAGGCTGGTTATTTTGATTAATCTTTTTAAGTGTGTGTAAGCACTCTTATTAATGAGTATTCTTTCTTATAGGGCGAGTTACATTTAGCTTAAACTAAAGTATTAATTAATACATTAATTAAGCATGTACTGACTTGTAAATATGGTCATTATTAGGCCCACACGAAATCCACAGAGTTTTTTTTGCCAATAATTGAGTCTATTTATTTACTTGTGTAAACTTATATTTATTCAGTTGTTTAATTAATTTCAGTAGTATTACTGACTAATATGAACAAGTTCTTATAATTTATTTTCAATACACTCTGTAAAGTAATGTGTTCTGTCTTTTAGCAGAGATGTTATATGAAAGACTTGCTTAGTTTACCAAATAAGTGGATTTAATTGGATTAGCATTGTAAACAATAAATAATTAAGGTTATTAATTTAATGTAAATAAGTTCATTTTTTATTTCATATATTGCATTTGTAGTTATGATACTCCCAAAATCATAAACCCGCAGATTCTTTACCAAATTCTGCACTGAAATAGCAAAAAATGTGTGCAGATTCTGTCTGGCCCTGGTCATTATTCACACATTATGGCCCAGTTTCACAAACAGGGCTTAGATTAAGCCAGGACTAAGCCTTAGTTAAATTAGGCTATTTAGGCCACATTGATTAAAATGGCCTTAGAAAAATATATTACTGGTGTGCACCTGGAGACAAAAAAAAGTATGCTGATGTAGTTCAAGACATCTCACAAGTTATTTTGAGTTGAGACAGCTCAAACATGCAGTTTAATCTTGACTCGCCTTAAACCTTGTTTGTGGAACAGGGGGTAGATCTGGATTAGCGCATGCCAACTCATCATTAATTCACAATAGTAGTGTTTAGTTTACACACAGTGCTCAGCATATACGAGTACACCCCACAAATCTCTCATTTAAATGAATATGTTTTATAGCTTTACAATGCTATATTTGTCCATATACATTAGATTAGTCAGCGCTGAAGCCAAATCTGGAGCTCATCTAACAAAATAACTTAATTAAGGGTTAAAAATTTGTAGCCCAAATTTATATGTTCAGGAAAAATATTAAATAAATTTTTAAAAATAGCAAAAATTATGAGAAACAAATATATATATATATATATATATATATATATATATATATATATATATATATATATATATATATATATATATATATATATATATATATATATATACAATTCTGTTGAAATGTTGAAGTTTGTAATTTATTTTTGCAATATTTTGCATGAATTTAAATGTATTATCTTTCCATTTTTAATGGTTTTCTTTGACTAAAATATGATTTAATCACATAATAATAGTTTTTATTATATTATATTAATTTTATTATATATATATATATATATATATATATATATATATATATATATATATATATATATATAAAATATATCTATTTAATAAATCTGTTTTGTTTAAATGCACCAAATATATGAAGATTTCAGATGCAAAACCCTGAAAATTTCCTCTAAAATGAGCATTTTTATCAGGCACCTGAGTTTCTGTTCAGTAATATCACTTTTTATGGCAAGGAATAAGTCCTTTTCCTCTTCTTTAAAGTGAAATATCTTAACATAAACAAAGGAGGTTGAGAAAAATATTAAACTTATATGGAAATTTCAGACGGCACTTTGAGGTTTTTGCATCTGAACTCATCATATATTCACTGAGAAATAGAAACAAATATTCCTTTTCAAAATGGGGTGTGCTCATATATGCTGAGCACTGTATTTGTACATCATTATTCATGCACTGTTATTGTAAAGCGATACTGAAATCATCTCTAATAATGAAGGAATCCTGCTGGCAAACATCTAACGCTTTTAGTGGCAAACCGCGTCATGCTTCTGCTTTACCAGTGTTTGAAACTGCGACTATCTCCTGGATGGATCGAGGTGCTTTATTAGCTCTAGAGTTGCTTTTATAAACTGATTGTAATAGAAACGCCTGCGATATTTAGATGTCATTTCAAATGTTTGTAATGTTTTTATCAGACTGATTTCTAGTGTTTTTAGCATTTGAATAAAGAACAATATGGAGTGTGTGTCTCAGGAGAGAGCGCGTAAAGAGTTTGACACTCTTAATAGTGGATACGTTATTATAATACGAAACATATTCCAGTGTTTTTTCCTCCTGATATTTTTTGTGTGTGTGTGTATATTTGTTTGTATGAATTATTATATAATGTGATTAGAAATTAATGTTGAGAAATGTTTGAGGAACAAGGTGACAGGCAATCCATTTGTAAAAATGAACAAATTTGTATAAGCTTTATACTTTATAGATCTGTCAATATTGTTATTTGTAGTATTAATAGATTCTAAAATAAATCTATATACAATTGCGAAGGTTTTGCAAAGCTCAAGTGTCAGATTCAATCTTTCCATCTCTCCTTGTGTGTATTTAACAGTTCATATGCAAATGAGTTTATATTGATGACTGTCAACCATATTTGCATAGCCTATAGCAGGGGTGGCCAACCCTGTTCCTGGAGAGCCCCCTTCCTACCTATATCAAACACACCTGAACCAATTAATTAGGACCTGAACACCACGTGATAATTACAGGCAGGTGTGTTTGATATGGGTAGCAACTGAAATCTGCAGGAAGGTGGCTCTTCAGGAACAGGGTTGGCCACCCCTGGCCTACAATATGCATTTGTTTCTGGCATATTTATTCTTTTATTTTCCTTCAGCTTAGTCCCTTATTTGTTAGCTAACTAATCCAGTATATGTTTAACGCAGCAGATGTCCTTCCAGCCGCAACCCAGTACTGGGAAACAACCATACACTTGTAGGGTCCAGCCAGTTAGTCCATTGACGGTGTCTTTCCAGTGCACAATGTTGATTTAGGGTTAGCCTAGGCTGGTCTTAGCTGGTTAGGCTGGGAGATGACCAGTTAAAACCAGCTTGACAGGCCTATTCAGGCTGGGAGCCCAGCCAAAACCAGCTATATCCATCTTAAACCAGGCTGGTCAAGCTGGTCATCTTCCAGCCCGACCAGGCTGGAAATGGCTGGAAACAAGCCTGGAAATGGCCAAAACCCCTCTAAAACCAGCCTGACTTCAAATATATACATATGGGCTGATCTGGATAACAGAATGACGCCCAACATTTTAGAAACTTTCCCTTAAGAAAATCCAAGAATACCCTCAAGGAAAGCGGTGTGTGAATAACAAAAGGCATTTGCATTTAGTGGAAGAGTTTCTGCCTATAGGAAAGGCACACCCTTCACAGTGGTTCAAAAGATACCTGAAGTTATACATCTATTGTTTTGATTGTGTCTATTTGTGAGGGAAATGAGATCACTGTACCAGTCGCATTTCCAATGATATCAAACATGATAGATAAAAGTCACTTTGGTTGATTTAGAACAGGGGTGGGCAAACTCGGTCCTGGAGGGCCCTTGTCCTGCACAGTTTAGCTCCAACCCTAATCAAACACACCTGCTTATAGATTTCTTGTGATCTTAAAGACACTGATTAGCATGTTCAGGTGTGTTTGACTAGTGTTGGAACAAAACTCTGCAGGGAGACCGGCCCTTGAGGATCAAGTTTGCCCATCCCTGATTTAGAACATTCAGACTTTGAAATGACCATTGTGTGTGAGTTGAGTGAAAAGGGGTTGCGTAACCAAGGTGGGTTTCGAGAATTGTTTTAAATGTAAATGGAGGAAACGAAGGGGAGCTGGTTTTTCCCGCATTCCCACCTGCTGGGTTGTGGAACTGATCGTCTCTGTATTCGGCTCAGGGTTGAATTTTCAAAGACATGGAAATATTTGTGATATCTCAAGTCTTACACACTCTCACATTCACACACACACTCATACACAATGGTCAAGTTAGTTCATCAGTTCCCCTATAGCGCATGTGTTTAGACTGTGGAGGAAACCGGAGCACCCGGAGGAATCCCATGCCAGCACGGGGAGAACATGCAAACTCTACACAGAAACTCCAACTGGTCCAACTGGGACTCGAACCAGCTTCTTGCTGAGCACAGTGCTGCCTCCTGCATAGTCACATACAGTTGAAGTCAGAATTATTAGCCCCCTGTGAATTTTTTTCTTTATTAAATATTTCCCAAATGATGTTTAACAGAGCAAGGAAATTTTCACAGTATATCTGATAATATTTTTTCATCTGGAGAAAGTCTTATTTGTTTCATTTCAGCTAGAATAAAAGCAGTCTTTAATTTTTAAAAAGCCATTTTAAGGTCAATATTATTAGCCCCTTTAAGTTTTTTTTTTTTTTTTTGCTCAAATAGTCTACAAACCAAACCATTATTATACAATAACTTGCCTAATTACCCTAACCTGCCTAGTTAACCTGATTAACCTAAGCCTTTAAATGTCACTTTAAGCTGTATAGAAGTGTCTTGAAAATGTCTAGTCAAATATTATTTACTGTCATCATGGCACAGAGAAAATAAATCAGTTATTAGAAATGAGTTATTAAAACTATCAAGATTAAAAATGTGTTGAAGAAATCTTCTCTGTTAAACAAAAATTGGGGAACAATAAACAGCGGGGCGAATAATTCAGGGGGCTAATAATTCTGACTTCAACTGTAAATCTTCCTCATTGTAAAGTGTACTGAAATCCTGACGTTGTTATTGTTTTTAGTTATTGTTTGCTTCTTTTTGTTAGCAAATGCATATATGTGAAGGCTAATAAATTACAACTTGCAAACATCACAAATGTGAATGTTTTAAATATTGGCAACACTTAACATTATTTAGCATTCAAAAATGTTTTATTTAGAATATTTATTAAAATAGATTGGCCGTACACTTCATATTTTCAGATTTTTCATAGTAATTGTACCATAAACCGACCATTTGGTAGAGGCTGATATTTTAGAAATTATGGGATGTGTTATAAAAAAATGCATTGAGTGTGTTAACTTGGACATTAGAAGTTAAAAAGTCCAATCCAAATATTTTTTTTTCATGGTGGGGTAGTTAAAGCATTAATGCACATGATCAATATATAAAGTATGCTTAGTTAAAAATAGTATTTAATTTTTGTTGTTAATTTATAACTCTGTATTCCACTGTATAAGTCAATTTAAAAAGAGGTTATCAAAAAATGAGTAAGTTGGTTTTATGTTTGCACATTCATTAATTTTAACAGCCCCTATATTGTTTATTGAATAGTGGGTCTGAAATGGGATTTAGGTAACAATATTAGCACTATTTAATTGACAGAGCAGTGTTGTATTTTATAGTCATTGACTGCTAATATGATTCCCCTATGAATTAGCATATAATACTTTTCATGAACTGTATTATTAAAGATAAAGTCCGAATGTGTGGATTTAAAACCAACTTTACCTAATGTAATAGGCTGTAGTATGAGGCAGGACTAACGCGGATAATTACCGCATACTTTTAAAGACAAGCAGTCAAATTAATGTTTCTATTAATTCTCAATAGATCGTGTTTTACAGTGAATGTGAGCACGAGGTTGGGAGTCTTATTTGCATGCTTTGTTTGTGGAGGATTCACGGGATTGATATGGATGACTAACCTGGAAGTCGCGAAAACCAGGAAGAAGCTGCTTTATCTCCTCTGAGGAAAACTCGCGTCCATGGCGGACTCTTTATTACACCTCTTTAACCTACTGTAAGGAGTTTACTGGATATTTAAAAAGCCATGCGAAGTTGGCGTGTGACCTGCTTTTCGCTTGTTTTGCTGGTGTTTTTCCTCTCGTCAGTCCTGGAGCTCACAGGTAACGTTAACACACACACACAACTCACCTATAACAATCAGCAGCACACACTCACACAGCTGGGAACCATCGACTTTTACTATCGACATGCACTAAATCGAGATTACCATTATCACATTCATTCACTATTGTGCTTATCATCTAATATTTAACTGCAACATAATGGACTGGTTTTATAAACTCAGAGTTTGGTGGTTTTAAAATGCGTCCACCTTATACATGTACAGTGTATTTTGGTCATGAACTCAAAAAATGAGGTAAAGTTGGTTTCATATTCGCACATTCAGGCTTTCTCCTCAATGTAATTTCAGAAAGTCAAGTGTATTTGTTTTAATTGAGATTTATACGTCACTAAAGGCTGAATATTTAAGTTTACACTGTTGTGTGGTCTGTTTGGATATGGTTTGTTTATTTATTTATTTATATAAATGTTTAGTTTTTTAAGTTCCATTAAATAAAAAGATGTTTCTGATTGCTAAATTTACATTGATAGATATGAAACTTGGTAAGTATAATCAAAAGACTAGTAACATAAGCTTGGTTAAAATAAAACATCTTTAAAGTTGTCCAAATTAAGTTCTAATCAATGCATGTTGATAATCAAAATTTTGATAGAGATAAAGTTGTTTTACATTCACACATTCGTTCCGTTAACGGCCCATATATTGTTTACCATGCTATGTTGAATATTGACACTGCTGAAAAATCCAGCTTAAACCAGCCTAGGCTGGTTGGCTGGTTTTAGCTGGTTGACCAGGCTGGTTTTAGAGGGGTTTTGGCCATTTCCAGGCTGGTTTCCAGCCATTTCCAGCCTGGACTTAGCTGGTCAGGCTGGAAAATGATCAGCTAAATCCAGCTAAAACCAGCTTGACCAGCCTGGTTTAAGCTGGACATAGCTGGTTTTGGCTGGGCTCCCAGCCTGGCTAAGCTGGTCAAGCTGGTTTTAGCTGGTCATCTCCCAGCCTGACCAGCTAAGACCAGGCTGGAAATGGCTGGAAACCAGCCTGGAAATGGCCAAAACCCCTCTAAAACCAGCCTGGTCGACCAGCTAAAACCAGCCAACCATCCTAGGCTGGTTTAAGCTGGTTTTTTTCAGCAGGGGAGTCTGAAATAGCATGCAAGGATAACTTCAAAATAATATTAGCATTATAAAATTGACTCTAAACAATGTTGTACTTTGATATTCATTAACTGCTTATATTATTTCCCTATTTAGAATTAGCAAAGAATACTTTTCTGAAATTATATTATTAAGCACAAAGTCTGAATGTGCGAATATAAAACCAACTTTACCTCTATAAATTAGTCCGAAAATATCTTCATTGAGTATGCCATATGGAATTATTGGCATAAAAGTAAAATAATAATGCAGTGTAAGATTTGTAAGAATAACAAAACTACTAGCGAATACAGGCCTGGGGGGAGACCATCCCAGAATTTGTCCCATACATGAGCTCATTTGTCCTATTTTGACTGCTTTTTTTATTTATTATTATTATTAATGCAAGAACGACACATACAAAACAATGCCAGAGGTATACAAAAATATTTAAATCATATTAAAATATATAGAGGTACAACAACTCAATAGGTAAAACAAAAATAAAACAATGCAAGGCCTTGCTAACTCACAATAACTTAAAAGTGTTAAACAAACACACAGTTTTAACAGCTTTTTTTGTTTGTACTTTCCTTAATAGTACTTATATAAATATTGCATGGTAATGAAATGATTGTGAAGTGAGTGTTTCACCTGAGGCTTTGGTTTCTTATCTGAAACAAACGTACATGTTTCCACACCTTTTTATTGTCTGGTTTGGGTACATATCGAAACATAAATAACATTATTTATAGTCAAAAAATTATAATAATAATTAAATAATTAAAGGGAACTGTCCCTTTAATTTAATATAAGAGACCAAATTGATCTGTGGACAAAGCAGTGGCGCAGTAGGTAGTGCTGTCGCCTCACAGCAAGAAGGTCGCTGGTTCGAACCTCGGCTCAGTTGGCGTTTCTGTGTGGAGTTTGCATGTTCTCCCCGTGTTCGCGTGGGTTTCCTCCGGGTGCTCCGGTTTCTCCCACAGTCCAAAGACATGCGGTACAGGTGAATTGGGTAGGCTGAATTGTCCGTAGTGTATGAGTGTGTGTGTGTGTGAATGTGTGTGGATGTAAATGGGTTGCAGCTGGAAGGGCATCCGCTGCGTAAAAGCTTGCTGGATAAGTTGGTGGTTCATTCCGCTGTGGCGACCCCGGATTAATAAAGGGACTAAGCCGACAAGAAAATGAATGAATGAATGAATGAAATTGATCTGTTTTTTTGCACTCATTAATGTAATTTTGTTGCAGTTTTATAAATCTTCCTCATAGCTAGGCCGGTCACAATAATTAATATAAAGTCTTACAGTATAGCACAACACAGACATGACCTCAATCATTTTTGGTGATGCTATATATCACCCCTACATAAAAACCAACTTCAGCAACATTTTAGCTGAGTGTGCAACATCTCTATCTCTATTGGAGGTGTTAGTATGGTTAAAAACACTGTAGTATTTACTATAATTTACTGTAGTATATTTTCATGTGGGTGTCTGACCACCGAAAAATAGATCTGGTAGCAGATATTGCAGCCTCTGTTACTCTTTACCTTGCTCTTTCCTGTTAACATTCATTAATATTCATTTAGGATATGCGCTTTCACATTCTGACTCCAGTGCCTGATTATTAAACTGTACAAATGACTATAATAAATGAAATATTCTTCAGAATAAAATATGAGGTGTTCGTTTGGAAGAGTGTACTTGCATTGTGATGATATTATATTGTCATTCTGGCATTATATAATAATAAATGGCATAAAATGGCCCTAAAATGCAGACAATATCCTTTATCGCAATATATTTTAGTGCAATATATCCTGCCTTCAGCAAAAAGACAAAAAAACAATTGTTATTATGACAAGCCTACTCATAGTAATGTGTATTCTAATCTAAAGTCCATCGTTTTAGGTGGAGCTGAGCTCAACGTTGCTGTTGAACAGGGCACAACCATCCTCATCAACACAAGTTCCAGCACAAGCACACAGTGTAAAGTGTGTATGAGAGTGCGAAACCAGCCCTTGTGCCAGGCTTATGTGGTCCTCAGAAGTGATACGCTTTTGGATTTCAGCTGTTCGCAGCCAGAGAAAGTGTTTATTGTGCAGATCATCAGAGACACGGGTGAGATAATATATGGATATAAATATTAGCCCAACAGGGAAAATTAATTATTTTTTAAATATTTCAAACGTGTTTATTTAAAGGAGAGGATTTTTTTCCAACACATTTTTAAATAGAATCGTTTCCTAAAAGCTGATTTCTTTTGTTTTTGCCATTGTGACAGTAAATAATATTTAACTAGTTATTTTGTAAGATAATAGTATTCAGTTTAAAGTGTAATTTAAAGATGGTTTAACTTGGTTAAGTAGGTTAATTTGGCAAGTCATTAGTTAACAGTGGTTGGTACTGTAGGTAATCGAAAACACAATTTCTGTAAGGCGCTAATAATATTGATCTTAAACATGGTTTTATTTCAGCCAAATTAAAATAAATAAGACTATCTCCATAGTGTTAAAAAATAAAATGCATTTTTCCTTTAAAATGCAAAAATAAAATGCATATTTCCTTTAAAATGCAAAAATAAAATGCATATTTCCTTTAAAATGCAAAAAATAAATGCATATTTCCTTTAAAATTCAAAAATAAAATGCATATTTCCTTTAAAATGCAAAAATAAAATGCATATTTCCTTTAAAATGCAAAAATAAAAAGCATATTTCCTTTAAAATGCAAAAATAAAATGCATTTTTCCTTTAAAATGCAAAAATAAAATGCATATTTCCTTTAAAATGCAAAAATAAAAAGCATATTTCCTTTAAAATGCAAAAATAAAATGCATATTTCCTTTAAAATGCAAAAATAAAATGCATATTTCCTTTAAAATGCAAAAATAAAATGCATATTTCCTTTAAAATGCAAAAATAAAATGCATATTTCCTTTAAAATGCAAAAATAAAATGCAAATTTCCTTTAAAATGCAAAAATAAAATGCATATTTCCTTTAAAATGCAAAAATAAAATGCATATTTCCTTTAAAATGCAAAAATAAAATGCAAATTTCCTTTAAAATGCAAAAATAAAATGCATATTTCCTTTAAAATGCAAAAATAAAATGCATATTTCCTTTAAAATACAAAAATAAAATGCATATTTCCTTTAAATGCAAAAATAAAATGCATATTTCCTTTAAATGCAAAAATAAAATGCATATTTCCTTTAAAATGCAAAAAATAAATGCATATTTCCTTTAAAATGCAAAAATAAAATGCATATTTCCTTTAACTGTATATATTATATAATATATCTATATCTATATTCTATTTTATTTTGCTGTGGATTTCAGATTTGTTGATTTCAGATTTGTTCAAGTCTTTCACTTTCCTTTGAGCAGACAGAATCTGAGGCTTTTTTTGTTGATATTTTTATGTAGAATTCTGTAAAAAAACAAAACAAAATCAGTAGAGAGATGAAAACTAAACACGTAAAATAAAAATAATAAAATAAAAATAACTTTTATTAATGTTTAAAATGCAAATCAATTAGAATAGCATCTTTGGTAAGGCAGGTGTTTCATATAATATATCCACTAAATGACAAAAATATTACTTGTAAACAAATCATCTGAACATTTAATGGAAAAGATTTCTGCCGATTTCTGTGCAAATTAAAGCCTTATAGGCCACAGATCGATACAAACTTTGATTGACTTTAAGATTGCAAAGTACATAAAACGTAGACTGAGTATATACATTCTTATTTTTTAGTTTTAAAAAAGTATAGTAGTTACACACTTAATAAACATAAGGGTTAAAACAGAAGCACATGATATCTGTTAACAAGATCTCACATAATTTCTGTCTTTCAGGGTTTATAAGATATTAGTAAAGGTCATAACCTATAAACATTATAATCATCACAAATATTTGAAGAAAAAAAAAAAATTCTTTAACTGTGTGTGTGTGTGTGTGTGTGTGTGTGTGTGTGTGTGTGTACACAGTGGAAGTCAGACTTATTAGCCCACCTTAATTTTTTTTTATATTTCCCAAATTATGTAGAACAGAGCAAGGAAATTTTCACAGTATTTCTGATAATATTTTTTCTTCTGGAGAAAGTCTTATTTGTTTTATTTCGGCTGGAATAAAAGCAGTTCTTAATTTTTTAAACAGCATTTTAAGGACAAAATTATTAGTCCTTTTAAGCTATATTTTTTTCAATAGTCCACAGAACAAACCACTGTTGTGCAACAACTTGCCGAATTACCCTAACCTGCCTAGTTAACCTAATTAACCTAGTTAACCCTTTAAATGTCACTTTAAGCTGTATAGATGTTGTGAAGAATATTGAGTCAAATATTATTTACTGTCATCATGGCAAAGATAAAATAAATCAGTTATTAGAGATGAGTTATTAAAACTATTATGTTTAGAAACGTGTAAAACAAATCTGCTCTCCCTTAAACAGAAAATGGGGAAAAAAATAAACAGGGGGGCGAATAATTCTGACTTCAACTGTATATATATTTTTGTAAATCTTCTATGCTGTTTCTCTGACATAAAACGTTTGTTTCACAGGGACAATGAACATTGAACCCAAAGATCACAGTGCTTTTATAAAGTTTAATCGCACGTTCACCTGGAATCTGAAGCCTTTAGTTTCAAAATCCCTCCAGTTGAATTTCAGTAGCACGGGTTTACGACAGATTGAGCCTGAGGACAGCTGTCCTGACAATCACAGATACATACTCGCGGTGGAGAACATCAGCATCGGGACATTTTGTCAGAATGGAGTCATCAGACAAATTGACGTGCGTAATGCTGGAAAACTGTCTGCGGAAGTGACTGGAGGTCAGAGTCTAAGCATGAAAGTCATCGCTGTATCAGTGGGACGTTTAATGAACTGTAAGTTGAATGATGAATCTCAAATTCTTATTTTATTAGTCACATACACTGTATGATATGCAGTGAAATGCTTGATATATTCTTTTTATAGACCTTAAAGGTGCAGTATGTACGTTTGACACCCAGTGGTTGAACTAGGTATTGCACGCCTGGTTTAAAACACACTCAAGCGCAGGTTGCCAGATTGACAACATCAACAGGAGCGAGTCCGACTATCGGGTCTAAAGGCTGATTTAGGACGTGTTCTAAATAAAAGCTCACAGGTGAACAACAGGACTGACAATGATCACCTCAGATACACCTCATGGTCTAATTATATAAATAATATAATCTAATTAAGACATTAAACCATTATTAGCCTTTTATCGAATGTACAGCCAACACATATCAGTGATTCATCAACTACATTTAATAATGTTAAAGAGGTTTATTATGTATTAATTAGATTATAAACCTTACCATTGTGCTGGAGTGCAGTGAGTGCACTATTCTGAGCTTCTGAATGGCTGTATTTACATTTCTGTCATGTTTCGTCTGATGCAAACAGCCAAATTGCTTTATCACTGCAAATCTGTTCACGTAGCGTGTTGTTAGGACACGGGGTTACAGTGTGACCTGCTCACCTATTCATAATATTTATGTTATTTGATAATTAATAACCACCTCATGTGGAACTCTGAATCTGTGTCTCATTTCGGCGCCTGCTACTGTGTTTAGTAGAGTGAAAAACTTGCATACAGCACATTTAAAGGGTTATTTACCCAAAAATGAACATTCTGTCACCCTTGTGTGCTGTTGGGGATGTTTTCATCAACTCTGGGGTGATTTTAAGGCTTAATTTGGCCTCAACTTTCCCTGTGTTTCAACTTATTTTGGTAAAATGCTTTGAAAAGTTTTTCAAAAACTCAACAATACACTCAAATTGACTCCCCTTTTGTTATGTTGGGGGTTTAATGGACTTCCATTATAGTGACATTTTTGGATTATAAAGCCATGACAGCATATTTTCATGACTGTTGGTGATTTTCCCTGTTGGGAAGAGGTCAGATGTGTCATTTTCACAGTTGATCATCAGTTGCAGTGCAAAAACTGCAGTTTCTGGCTTAATATTATATGGTTATATGGAGTGTGGTTCATTCATTCATTTATTTTCTTGTCGGCTTAGTCCCTTTATTTATCTGGGGTCGCCACAGCGGAATGAGCCGCCAACTTATTACTACATGAAATGTAAACAATCGTTCAGCACACCAAATTAGCTTTGCAGGGACATCAAACATGAACTATCTATGTATGTATCTTGTTTTGCTGTGGTAGAGTTAAACACTGATTGCAGAAGTATTTAAACCATAATATTAATACATAAGCGAAAGACTTGTTGCAAAACACCTGATTAGACATAAAGAGAGAATAAAAGTGTACATTAAAGCATCAGTCTTAAGCAAGGAGCTTATAGGAGCAGGGCCGGCGCGTCCATAGAGGCGACCTAGGCGGTCGCCTAGAGTGGCAGAATAGAGAGGGCGGCGTCTGCAACACCTTCCTCACCACCTGCGTCCTCAGTTATGTCCAGACATCCCAAGTCTCCCGGAAGTTGCAGGAGTATCCCTGAAATGCATAGGCACTCCCGGATGCCCGCAAATGAATGATAATCTCCCGGAAATCGCGCTTCTCCTGCCCGGTCCTTAAATATGTTGCACACCCCTCTCTCCACTGCATCCCTACTAGCTCTTCAGGTACATCGCGCGCAACTCACTCCCACCGCTCTTCAAGTACGTCTCGCAGTACGTCCCCTTCACAGATTTGTCGCTCACTGCTCACTACTCATCTCCCCTCCCCCCCTTCGAGCACCCACTAATCCGACACCTACCGCCAGGGCCAGAGCAAGCTGAATTGCCGCTCTAGGTCGCGGACCTATATTCTGCCGCCCTATGCGCGGATATAACTAAGGACACACGGTTGCTGATGGAGGTGCTGACGCTGCCCTCTGTATTCTGTCGCCTATGAGCGAATATATCTGAGGACGCGGGTGGTGAGGGAGGTGTTGCGGACATAACTGAGGACGTGGGTGGTAAGGGGGGTGTTGCGGACACCGCCCTCTCTATACGGCCGCCTAGGTCGCCTCTATGGACGCGCCGGCCCTGCCTGCCGCAAATCAACTCTGTATCACCCGGAAATAACTTTTTCCAACTTGGGATGTCTGTATGTCTGCGACACCTCCCTTAGCACCCGTGTCCTCAGTTATATTCACGCCTAGGCCGGCAGAATAGAGAGGACGGCGTCCGCGACACCTATCTCACCATCCGCATCCTCAGTTATATATGCGACCCCCGATCCCACTCCGCTCTTCACGTAGATAAATGGTCACTTTTGTTTTCACTTTCGGGTGGGGGGTCGGCGTAATCGTCCTTTGCCTAGAGCGGCAGTTCAGCTTGCTCCGGCCCTGTATAGAAGTTCTCTGTGTATCCAGTTCTGAGCATTACTTTGTGTTGTAAACACGTTGAGATTGGACCATTCAGTCTTTTCCGGGTGGGAGAAGCTGACGGTTTATTATTTGTTAAATTCATAGATATATACACTAGATATCGCATAGGGACCCTGAGCATGCGTCAATAGCGCCGCCATATTTGTACAGTGCTCCCAGGACAAATGTCATTCAACCGCACTAGTCAAGACAGTGTTATTACGTGAAGATGCGGGACTTTAGCGCTGTCTACGGGTGTAGTAACAAGCAAACAAAGAAAACAAAGCACAAAGGCAGAACATTTCATAGGTAATATTAAGTTTTTTTTCTGTTTTTGTATGTTCTGAACTTTTGTGCTAAGCAGGTAACGTTATTGATGATAACAGTCTCTTACTGCATTCACCATACGGCAAAGCAGCTCCAACTCGCACTAAACACTCGGCTTATGCTAGTTTTGTTGAATAAAATCAGCAAACAATGCAAAAGAAATATGACAACGAGATGCTGCGCTGCCAGAAACTTGTATTATTGTCGGCTAACGTTAGTGAAAGAGTCGTTCGGGGGATTCATTCACAAACGAATCGCTCCCTCCGTCAGTATGAGCAGTGAAAGCAGGAGAGGAGCTGTGTTTCAGGACATGACTAGATCAAATTTAACAGGGAGGGTGAATAGTACATTTCTGTACACACAAACACAAGCTTTTTGTCAGGAATGCCCGTGCGGTCACTGATCCATCAATGTAGAAAAGTGATGTAAAATTAAAATTTTCGTAATTAAAAAAAAAATTTACACACTAACATCCAGGAAAACTCCCGATCACAGATATATGTGTATATGTGTATATCTCTGGCTTTGGATGGCCACAGTCCTCCACTGTACCTTGGTCCCGCATTCATTTCAAAGGAGCGCTACCCTGTAGCAAGATGGCGGCGCTATTGACGCATTCCGTCCAATAGACAACAATAGGCCAGGCGACATCTAATCTATATATCTATGTGTTAAGTTAAAGCAGAATAATTATGTGTCTGATCGGCCATATTTGTTACAGTATTAATGCATGCGCACTATATTTTGTTATTTTACTTCATAGAAGTCAATATATAAGAGTCGGAAATGTTTTTGCACTGGTTTATCTAAAGTGTTAACCCTGTCAACTGATAAGCAACAATAAACATTAAAGGTTTGACCTCATCCCAACGGGGGAAAGCACCAACAATCAAGAGTGCATGATTATATGCTGATATGGCTTTGAAAAAGGCCACAAGCATGAAGGAAAGGGTGGTACATTTAAACAATATGCAAGGGTTAATTACTCACCCTTGTGCCGTTTTAATCTCCTTCAGCTTTCAGCTTTCTTTTTCTCTCCAGCTCTGGTTAACATCCATGCTGTTCTCCCAGAGAAGAGCTCAATCCAGGACTTCATAACACCAAACACAACCCCTGAAAATGCAGAGATCATGTGGTTTTTCAGCATGCCCAATGCATACTATGCAGACGTACGCATTCTGAAGTACACTCTTCCAACATGCCTGTCGTCTGAAAGCATCCCTACAATGAAGTACACCTGGCAGGGCAGGGATGCTCTGGTCAAGCGTATGAATGAAAACCAGCCGTCAGTGGAGCCTGGAAACTTTAACATCTCCATAAAGAACTGCAAAATGTCCACGGTGTCTTCATTGAACAGATTGATGGTGCACTTTCAGATCTCTGCCATCAAGAGAAGGAAGGGTATGTACATTTCTGTCAGAATTAAAGGGATAGTTCACCCAAAAATGAAAGTGTGCTCATATATATATATATATATATATATATATATATATATATATATATATATATATATTAGGGCTGTGCAATTAATCGAAAATCCGATTTCGATTTCGATTATGGCTTCTAACGATTATGAAAAACCATTAATCGAGATAAACGATTATATACCAAAGCGCAAAAGACCGCGTGCTTTTGTGTGTGTACAACACACGCTCACGCATAAGCATGCGGTCAGCATTCGGTTTCATTCGCACACTGAGACGAGCAGAGGAGCGCAGACATCTAAAGTAATCTTAACATGAGCGCTTTAATGGTCAAATAGGTGTCAAAACGCGGTGATTAGTGATTATTCATATTAACCCTCATTTGCGTAATAAACAAACGAGTTGAGAATCAAAAGACACGTGAAAGAGAAACCATTAAAGTGACAGTGCGAAATGCTGCCGCCGGTTTTATCATTAATCAAACGACGAGAACATCCCTTACTGCTCCTGACTGAAGGATTTTTGTAGCTGAAGTGTTTTTCTTAGGGTGAAGATGCTGAAATCACAGTTTGTTTTAAATTTTTATTCTATTGTATTTATTTCTCTTTCCTTTGCAGGGAGGAAAATAATTGTATGTATATATATATATATATATATATATATATATATATATATATATATATATATATATATATATATATATATACAGTTGAAGTCAGAATTATTAGCCCTCCAGAATATTAGCAACCCTTGTCCTCCAATTTCTGTTTAATGGAAAGAAGTTTTTTTTTAAACTTATTACTGAACATAATAGTTTTGATATATCATGTCTAATTACTGATTTGTTTTATCTTTGCTATGATGACAGTACATAACATTTTACTAGATGTTTTTCAAAATACAAGCATTCAGATTAAAGTGCAATTCAAAGGCTTAATTAGAGTAATGAGACAAGTCGTTGTACAACAGTAGTTTCTTCTGCAGAAAATCAAAAAATATATTGCTTAAGGGGACTAATAATATTGACCTTAAAATGAGTTTCAAAATAATTAAATCTGCTTTTATTCTAGCTAAAATAAAACAAATAAGACTTTCTCCAGAAGAAAAAAATGTTAGAGGAAATACTGTTAAAATTCCTTGCTCTGTTTAACATAATTTGGGAAAGTTATTTAAAAAAACTAAATTCTCAGGAGTGCTAATAATTTTGACTTCAACTGATAATCGTTTTGAATAATCGTGATTACAACTATGACCAAAATAATCGTGATTATGATTTTTTCCAAAATCAAGCAGCCCTAATATATATATATATATATATATAGTTTTTTTAACTCTTTGTTAATGACTGCTACAATAGACCGTAACATTAATATAGTAAAATGATAAACTGTAATAAACACTTTAGTATCCTTCAGTTTTTATTACAATAAAGTCCTTCATTTGAACCAATTTAGTTGAACACTACAGAAGATGCCTTGAGAAATGCTGGAAACCTGTAACCATTGCCTTCCTTTGGAAAAACTAAAACTATTTAAATAATGGTTGCAGGTTTTTTTCCCTTCAAAATATATTCTTTAGTGTTAATAAAGGGTTGTAAGATAGGAGAATAAATAATGACAGAATTTTCATTCTTCTTGTGAACCATTGCTTTAAGCACATTAAACTGAACACAGATCGGTTATTTTATCATTTTGATTACACAACAGTAAGAGTACACCATCTGTTGTGTAATTACAGAAAGCCCAAGTAGTTCCAGGCAATCGTGACTCATGGATACAGGATATGGGGGAAAAACACTCTTTCTTTTTAGTCAACCTTAGGGCAGAGAAAGATCATGACTTTTTCAAACTGTGTCTTTAAAATTAGACAACATAATTCTCAAGCTTTTTTTCAGGACAACTTCATTGATTTATGTTCAATCCACTTAAATTTGGAAAAACTCAACTTTAAATGCTTATATATTAGCATATTTGGAAAAAGATATCTGGCACTGTGGTGCAGATTTAAAAATGTGCTTGATTATAACTTGATCACAAATCACTTATTCAACTTTTTATTTAACATAGGCTCATTTTGAAAACGTAGCCCTTTAAACATTTGTGAAGATCGCAAATTATGTAGCCAGAGGCACTGTATACTACCGGTCAAAAGTTTGAGGTCGGTATGATTTTTAAATGTTTTAAAATAAGCTTCTCGTGCTCACCAAAGCTGTATTTAGTTCATCAAAAATACAGAACTTGTTGTATATGTGTGAAATGTTATTGCAATATAAAATAACTGCTTAAAATTTAATAATTTATAATTAATAATTAATAATAATTAATTAAATAATAATAATAATAATTAATTAAATAATAATTAAATTAATAATTTATTTAATAATCTAATAATTTATTCCAGTGATTTTAAGATGAATTTTCAGCTTCATTACTTCGGTCTTCGAGTCACATGATCCTTCAGAAATCACTCTAATATTAATTAATTTCATTATTATTATTATTATTATTAATGGTAATAAGTAATAAATAAATATTTAATAAATAAATATTTAACAACATGATGAACAGAATAATTTTATTTAAAATATTTAATAAAATTAATAATAATAATAAAAAAAAACTGACCCCAAACCGGTAGTGTATGTAAGGCTGTATTTCGTCTTTAAATTAAACGCTATTGGGCGGTATGACGCTGTTCCTATTCGCGTTTACAAGCTGACCGCTTACCTCCGTGTGGACTGCCTCGACGAAGGGGTTCGAGTCTGGCAAAAAACAGTTCTAGAAAGCAGGTAAGAAAAAAACAAGCCAAAAAAAAAATAAAATAATAATAAACAAGTAAATAACAGGGTGAGAGTGTGGTAAAATCTGAAAACCGTAAAAATCAGGTGAGGGCTGTGTTTAGGGTAGTGGGTGGGCGCTGGTCAAGCTGTGCTTTTAAAAACACTGTTGGTTTGGTTTATGAAAGGAGGAGAGTGGGTCAGTCGATTAGCCAGTCGACAGCAGCCTCTGGTGGAAATATGTGGGAACAGCAGGTTTGAATGGCATTCGTGAGAGAAATTTGAGATATCAAAAAGCACACACAGCGCCCTCTGGTGGAATCGCGAAAACAAAAACGTAGCTCCTGGGGCGTATTTGCCGCTCTCCAGAAATGTATATAGGGGTACGTTTTCAGAATGAGCCAGGGTAATTATGAGATTTTTACATGCTCTGTGTATGTTTTTTTGTGTGTGTGTGTGTGTTTTTAATCAAGTATACAATAGATGTGGTACTATTAGTTGAGTTAAATCTATTTAAAAACCTGTAAGAAGAGCATTTAACCATTTTCTCTTAACTCTCTTCAATGATGTTATGAAAATCGTTAATGTTGGACAAAAGCATCAAATAAAGTTAATAATAAACTTTAATAATAAATGTGAAAATGTTTCAAAACAATATTTTTTTACGTTCAAACTAGTGTTTTTCACATTTTACACATCATTGTGTTTTTGTAAATTTTTTTTTTGGATGTCTAACTCTGCGTTTCCCAAGCCTGTTCCCGAAGGCACACCAATGGTGCATGTTTTCAAGCTCTTGCTAATTAAACATACCTGAATCAACTCATCAGAACATCAGACTCTAAAACCTGAAGTGTTTGGGTCGGATAAGGGAGACATCCAAAATATGTAGTGTTGGTGTGCTTCCAGGAACAGGGTTGGGAAACACTGGTCTAACTGTGCTCTATGCCTTCCTTCATATCTTTATTTGATGTCTGTTTTCTTGTCACTGTTGCAGGCCAGTGTGAAGGAGATCTGCCAGACAAGCAAGTACTGAAGATACAAGTAATGAAAAAGGATCCCAAGTCGGTCTGTGTGTTGAAACTGGATTCGGTCATAATGGACACAGTCACCATCGCTTCAGGGAACCATTTTATTCTTAATACCTTTGACTGCAACAAGGATGAGCTGGAGTTAACTGTAATCCAGACTGAGGGTATGTAATAATATTCATTCATTCATTTTCTTTTCGACTTAGTCCCTTTATTAATCAGGGGTCACCACAGCGGAATGAACCGCCAACTTATGCTTTCTAGCTACAACCCATCACTGGGAAACACCCATACACACTCAATCACACACAAACACTACAGACAATTTAGATTACCCAATTCACCTATACCACAGGAGGAAAGCCACGCGAACACAGGGAGAACATGCAAACTCTACACAGAAATGCCAACTGACCCAGCCGAGGCTCAAACCAGCGACCTTGCTGTGAGGCAAAAGTGCTACCCACTATGCAACCGTGCTGCCCATGTAATAATATAAAACACTATACAATTTGTAGTGGTAAAAATCTAGGTCCTACTTTATTTTATGTGGCCTTAACTAGTATGAACTTATATCAAAATATAAACACAGTGTACTTAATGTGTTCATAATGTATTGCAGAACACTTCTGGGTGGGATACGGGTCGGGCTACAGACAGGTTTTGGGGTATGGGTAGGTTTAAGGGTGGGTTAAGGTGTAAGGGATGGTCAATAGTGTAGTTATACACTCACCGGCCACTTTATTAGGTATGTTTACTAGTACCGGGTTGGAGCCCCTTTTGCCTTCAGATCTGCCTTAATCCTTCATGGTATAGGTTCATCAAGATACTGGAAATATTCCTGAGATGTTGGTCCATATGGCATCATCCATGATGCCCATCTTCCGTTCCACCACATGCCAAAGGTGCTCTATTGGATTGAGATCTGGTGACTGTGGAGGCCATTTGAGTACAGTGAACTCATTATCATGACATGGTGCTTTATCCTGCTGGAAGTCGCCATCCGAAAATGGATTTTCCTTTGACTTAGTCCTTTATTTATCAGGGGTCACCACAGCAGAATGAACCACCAAAAGTTCCAGCATATGTTTTATAGAGCAGATGCCCTTGTAGCGCAACCCAGTACTGTGAAACACATACACTAGGGCCAATTTAGTTAATCCAATTCCCCTATAGCGTATGTGTTTGGACTGTGGGGGAAACCGGAGAAAACCCACGCCAACACGAGGAGAACATGCAAACTCCACACAGAAATGCTGACTAGCCCAGCAGGGATTCGAACCAGCAACTTTATTGCTGTGAGGCAACAGTGCTAACCACTGAGCCACTGTGCCGCCCTGATCATCATATAATAGTTTCTAAAACAGAAATTTCAGGTGATGGTTAAGACAAAACTTACCCAAAACTATTATATATGGACAATATGTTTGCTCCTGTTGTCATCGTCAAGGGACAGGTTAAACTTTTTTTTTTATTTTAGCATGCAGTGCCCAGTTTAACCACTTTAACCCAGTTTAATCTGCATGCTCCCTATTCATTTAATTCCTGTTCCATTTTCAACAGAATGTAAAGAATGGAGGAACTGTACATCCACTCTGTTCCCGCTTCACTTCAATTATGAGCAGCAGTGTATCCCAGGAGTCCTGAAGATGATCACGTGGTACATTCAGGGTCCAGTCAACAGTGCAGTGGAGCTACAGTCTCCTACAGACGGCCTGCGCTACTGTTTGCCTGAAGACAATTGCAACAGCATCCTACTGCTAAACGTCTCCCAGGTTATGAACCCAGGCACCACTGTTGGCCAGTTCTGTCCAAAGGGATCCGTTCAGAAGATACAGATCCGGGAGTCCAAGATTGCAGTAACTGCTTCTGTTACAAGTTTCAGCGACCGGAGTGTGGCAGCAAAACCAATCTTAAGCTATTCGTTCACACAAGGCATATCGGGTAAGTGCTTTCAGTGTTCATTATTGACCTTATTCTAAAATGCGGAAGTGCGCCTGTTTTTGTGATTGTTTTAGAGCACAGGTGTCAAACTCAGTTCCAAAAGGGCCGCAGCTCTGCACAGTTTCGTTCCAACCCTAATTAAACACACCTGATCAAACTAATTGAGTCCTTTAGACTTGTTTGAAACCTACAGGTAAGTGTGTTGGAGCAGGGTTGGAACTAAACTGTGCAGGGCTTCGGCCCTCCAGGAATTGAGTTTGACACCCCTGTTTTAGAACTTCCGATTCAGTCGCCTATGGGAGAAATGACTAGGAATAATAAACTACTCACTCTACAAACAAATGTTTGCATGATTATACAGACCAAGTAGAATAATATAATAAGGAAATATCAGTTTGCAACATCAAACAGCAAAACGAGCAGTTTTTAACGTCTAACGCCTGTTTCACACCGCAAGCGTCAGCGGCGCGTGAGCAGAGCGTGAGCAGCGCGTGTGTTTTCGGCGTCCATGTTAACAGATTACAGCTTTCATACCGCACGCAGCAGCAGCGCGTCAGAGCGAGGCGTGAGCGTCGCTGAAGCAGCAGTGCAGCGATAGTTTCGGCGCTGGGTCTATTTTTGACGCGCTGCTCACGCTCAATTAAAGTGACAGTGCATTGAGAATGACCAAAACACATTGAATGACAGTAAAAACTAACAATTTTACCCAATAAATGCGTTAATAATGTCAAATGGTTTATATATAGTCATTCAAATGAACTTAAAACGATTAAAAACGGCAACAAACATTTATTTAGGCCCGAACTACAAAACCAAATGTAAAACTATTTTACTATCAGTTTTGCTTAAGTTGCACACTAGTGTTGTAGGAGAGGGGAAATGGAATATTTACGGGATTTGTAGTCCATAGCGAAGTGTATTGTGGGTAGTGTAGTTCGACACGCATGCTGGATTATGTGAGCTCGCTGTGTTCTGTGCAGCTAGCAGAGCAAGAAAGTTTTAATCGGCTTTGTTTTATGTTCACTCGAATTATTCCTACCGGGAGCTGTTTGCACTGTGAATCTGACAACACGAAAATAAGTAAAAGAATGGCATGCATTAATTACTTTTGTCCGTCTCATCATCTGCACGAGCATGAATTAACGAGCTGTTATTCTGCCGCTGGACATCACTGAAGCGGAGAAAGCAACACTAGTTTGATCATGTATAAATATCATTATAACTATATTGTATAAATATGATTATAACTAGGTCTACAGCAACCTGATAATCAAAAAACAAATGACATGATATCACAGGCGATTGTCTTCTGACTGTAGAAAATTCTCATATAAGTTAGCTTTAGAAGTATACAGTACTATTTGATCTATAAAATTTGTAAAATAAACATTTGCAGGTTAATGAAACAGCATAGGAGGGGCCTTGGTACAGATGAAAAGTTTAAAAAGTGTATTTGTATATAGAGGGGTAACTAGATAGAATAGACAGAGATAGGTTGATCTCAGCAGCAGCTGCCAAAGAGCTGCGCGCTGCAGACGCAGCTGGTGTGAAAGGCAAACGCCTGCGTGCTGCTACTGCTCGACATACGCGCTGCTCACGCTCTGCTCACGCGCCGCTGACGCTTGCGGTGTGAAACAGGCGTAAAAGTGAATGGAAGTGAATGAGAACGGAAGTCTCGAGTTAAAAAGATTCACATGGCGGCGCCCGCTCGTCGGTGAAGAATAAGGTGAATAGACTAGGGTTGGGCATCTAAGCTATAATGCCGATCCGATACGCATCTCGATACAAAGAATACGATCCGATATATTAGCGATACATTTGTGACATATTGCGATGCAACACGATACGATTCACACCCATATCACGATACGATGCGATATTTCAGCACTAACTAATTAGATCAAGTTTATGAGATTATGTTAAAGAGGATGCTGTGCCATTGAATGAGTTTGATTATTTATAAACCAAGCAAAACCAAGACTTTTTTACAAACTGGCTTTTCTCTCGGAGCCAGAGTGTCAGTTTACAGTAGAGGGCCATTTTAGAACATATAGCACATATTATTCATTTTCAAGATAAACAGAATGTATAAGTGCAATATATATTAAAAAAATATGTATATATTTGCACTCTTTCAACATAAAGGTTTACCATTGCACAACAAGAATTGTGATTTAACTTTTCAACTATGAAAACAAGTTTTACAAAGATATTTTGCCACTGAATATTCAAAACTTAAGGTCGTGAACTAGCAGTGTTATGCTGCTTTGAAACATCACTGTCACTGTAAACAACAGGCTAATAAAAATATAACAAACCAGCAATCTTCTTGCTGTGAGGTGGTCAAACTACCCACTGTGCCACCGTGACACCCAATTATTTTTATCATTATTATTATTAATATTATTATTATTATAATTAAATAAAAATAAACAGGAGGAGGTGCTTAAAACCTTCGTTCTCCGTGACACTAGGCTGAATATCTTTGTAGATGAACAATGCAATAGCATTCGTTATTGGCGTAGAGCGAGCATAACTGTTGCGCACGGAAAAAAAAAACTTGCAATGCTTTTCTCACCACTTTTGGAGCTGGTTGAAGCAGTGCGAAAGCCGGGGATGCAGGAACACTGGAAGATGCTTTCACAACAACACCGTGGCGCCGCTTCAAGTGAGATATCAGATTAGTCGTACTGCCCGCGTATTTTACAGATGCGCGGCACATTTTGCAAATTGCATCTGTCCTGTCAAGTCGTCCATCCTTAAATCCATAATGTTGCTTGCCATACTTTAGATTTAAAACTCAGTGGGGACTAAAATGTTTGTTTTGCTTCTCGCGCTTTCTGAGGGCGCACCACTAGCTTCATCCGCACACCTGATACACTGAGTTGTAGTGAAAGTGTACACATCCGCAAATCCATTGCTAAGGTTTACTTTATGTAGGTCGATTAAATTATGCACCAAAAACAGGTTGACAACTCTTGTTAATAAATAAAAAATACATTCTATATTAAAAATATAAGCTGTATCTCGGAAAAATCGATGCATCTCGCAAAAACCGATGCATCTCGATTTGCTTCCAAAATTTCATTCATCCTCTGCTGCTCAACCGATGCACTCGCATCGTGCACGCGCATGACCGCGTATCGATACATATCGGTTAATCTTCCCATCCCTAGTATATATATATATATGTATGTATATATATATATATGTATGTGTATATATATATATATATATATATATATATATATATATATATATATATATATATATATATACACACACACACACACAGTTAAAGTCAGAATTATTAGCCCCCTTTTAATTTTTTTTCTTTTTTAATATTTCCCAAATGATGTTTAACAGAGCAAGGAAAATTTCACAGCATGTCTGATAATATTTTTTCTTCTGGAGAAAGTCTGATTTGTTTTATTTCGGCTAGAATAAAAGCAGCTTTTAATTAAAAAAAAAACTGTTTTGGGGCAAAATTATTAGCCCCTTTAAGCTATATATTTATATATCAGCTATATATAAGCTATATATCAGATTTCATAACTTTACATCTCCCTTCCTCATACAGAAAACTACATATTCAGTGTCACACCAAAGATGGATAATCCTACCACGCTGGCGACCCCAGGCTGGCCGTCTGCAATGAAAGCGTCCAGCACAGTGTCCTGGATAGTGAACATGGAGCCGCAGTATACAAGCGTGCTGACATTCAGAAATGTCAGTCAGCCCAAGTGTAAACAAGTGCACACAAACATCGCAGTGCAGACCATTCGCTCTCAAACGGTGCTGTACACCACTACAAAAGATGATAAGATGAAGGATCTCCTGCTGCCAGAAGGTTTTTACCTCAACATGACGAACTGCAAGTCACCGACAGGAGCCTTCAGGGCAATGATGGAGGTCACGGTGCAGAGCAACACAAGTGAGAAAGCCGAATTACAAATGCTTTACTTGATGCCCACTGAAATGTGCATTCATACGCATCAACTGATGTGAAATGTATTGTTGTGTTTCAGACAAGCTTCTGGGCATCATCCTGGGCGTTGTGGGCGTTGTGTTGGCCATCGCAGTAGCTGTGGTAATCTGGTTTGTTCTCAGGTGAGAGTTTACAAAGCATAAGATGCATATCCATATATGCAACGACAACAAATCTAACTAGATGATAACATTTGAGGACAAACTTAATGGGGGCTTGAGAAAGCCTGTTGGAAGTAGATTATTTAGTTTGAAAAAGTATCAGGTTTTGGCTAAAAAGTTGGCAACCTGTGTCTGAGGTTGGTAATAGCTTGATACTACCATGAGTTAGCATGATTCTAGCATGAATTAGCATGATTCTAAGAAATGAACATGTTATTAGCATATATCTAGCATGATTTAGCATGTTGTTAGCATATTTCTAGCATAAATTAACACGTTGATAGCATGTTTCTAGCATGAATTAGCATGGTTCTAACATGAATCAGCATGTTTCTAACACATATTAGCATGTTTTTAGCATAATTCTAGTATGAGCTAGCACATTGTTAATATGATTCTAGCATGATTTAACATGTTGTTAACATGATTCCAACATGAATTAACATGTTAGCATTTTTCTAGCATAAATTAGCATGTAACTAACCTGATTCCAGCATGGATTTGCATGTTGTTAGCTTGTTTCTATAGTGAATTAGTGTGTTAGCATGGTTCTAACATGAACTAGCATGTAACTATCCTGATTCTAGCATGAATTAGCATGTTGTTAGCATGATTCCAACATGAATTAACATGTTGTTAGCATGATTCTAGCATGAATTAGCACATTGCTAGCATGTTTCTAGCATGAATTAGCATGTTGTTAGCATGATTCTATCATGAATTAGCATGTCATTATCATGATTCTAGCGTATTACCATGATTCTATCATTAATTAGCACGTTGTTAGCATGATTCTAGCCTGAATTAGCATGTTGTTAGCATGTAGTTAGCATTAATCTAACATTATATTAGCATGATTTTAACCTATTAGCATAATTCCAGCATGAATAAGCATGTTGTTAGCATGATTCTAGACTGAATTAGCATGTTGTTAACATGAATTAGCATGTGGTTAGCATGATTCTAGCCTGAATTAGCACATTGTTAACATGAATTAGCATGTGGTTAGCATTATTCTAGCCTGGATTATTATGTTGTTAGCATGAATTAGCATGTGGCTACCATGATTCTAACATATTAGCATAAATTAGCATGTTGTTAGCATGATTCTAACATGATTAGTATAATTCCCATTAATATGCATGTTGTTAGCATGATTCTAGCCTGAATTAGCATGTGGTTAGCATGAATTAGCATGTTTTTAGCATGATTCTAGCCTGAATTAGCTTGTTGTTAGCATGATTCTAACATGATATTAGCATGATTCTAACATGATATTAGCATAATTGCAGCATGAATAAGCATGTTGTTAGCATGATTCTAGCCTGAATTAGCATGTTGTTAGCATGAATTAGCATGTTGTTAGCATGATTCTAACATGATATTAGCATGAAATAGCATAATTCTAACATGATATTAGCATAATTTCAGCATGAATAAGCATGTTGTTAGCATGAGTCTAGCCTGAATTAGCATGTTGTTACCATGAATTAGCATGTGGTTAGCATATATCTAACATGATATTAGCATGTTGTTAGCATGATTCTAGCCCGAATTAGCATGTTGTTAGCATGAATTAGCATGTTGTTAGCATGATTCTAGCCCGAATTAGCATGTTGTTAGCATGAATTAGCATGTTGTAGCATGATTCTAACATAATATTAGCATAATTCTATCATAATTTAACATGCTGTTAGAATGATTCCATCCTGAGTTAGCATGTTGCTAGCATGATTCTGACATGAATTGGCATGCAGACATCCCAAGTCTACCAGAAGTTGTGGGAGTATAGACACTCCCGGATGGCCGCAAATAAATGATAATCTCCTGGAAACCGCGCGTCTCCCCCTTCTCCACCACATCCCTCCTAACTCTTTAGGTACGTACGTAGCACACTACTCACCCCCACTGCTCTTCAGGTGTGTAGGTACATCTCGCGCGCACACCCCCACCCCCCCCCCCCCCTACTCAGATACGTCGCTCACTCAACCCCCCCAGCATATCCCCTCCCACCCCTCACCCCCATAGAAAGGCAGTGATAGCCCAGACAGCAGCTGAAATCTCTCAGTAGTCATATTCAGATTTGTTTTCTTCCCATATCTGGATTTCTTTGGTTGTTTTCAACAGGTTTGGTTGTTTTCCTGTTTTGAACAGGAAAAAGAAGAGGAATAAGGCTCCCCCGGTGTCCGTGTACAACCCCAGTGAGCACGCCTTCCTTCCAGGCTTACATGGCATCCCGAAAACACAAGAGGAGGATGAGGAGAACCACACGTACGCATACATAGATGACACTCTGGTGTACAGCCATCTGCTTAACGATGACGCTGACAATAAACAGCATTATGAAGACACCTCCGGCCCACATCTGAATAAACCGCCGTTACCGGACAGACCAGACAGAAACGTGGACAGTCACGCTCTAGACAAAGCATTGCTTCCCAATGAGCTGTACGGGTATGTGCAGGGGCAGTCAACTACATCTGGACCAACAAGAACATCAGGCAAAAGCTCTGAGGAGCACACCTATGAAACCAGACTCTGTGTGTGACCGAGAGCTTTATGAAGACGTTTGACGTTTAGCGATGTTTTGCGTGAGCAGATTGCTTTTTTTTTTTAAAAATGACTGCATGCTTTTGATATTAAAATGTCTGTTCATGCATCTCCAGTTTTGGAAGTGATTTAGTTTTCGGTTTGCAGCATACCTGCCAACATTCGGATCATAAAATCCGGGGGATCTTCTCCGGTGGTGCGCACAAACTGAGAAGCGAGTAGCGGGTATGAAGATGGTTGCGCGTTGGTTGGGTGCGCATGGGGACTGTACCAAAAGGCTGAGGGGTGGGGGGTTGGAATTCCGGGAGTTTTCCGGGAGACAGAACAATACGGGAGATGGGTCTGAAATATGGGAGACTCCCTGGAAAAAAGGGAGTGTTGGCAGGTATGGTTTGCAGTCAGAAGGTGTTGTTAGGTGTCTATCAGCTGCTGTTAACACACTCATTTCAATACAGTGTCACATGAGAAACGAGTGATGGAAATCCCCCAGTTAAAATGAAACCCTTAATTAGCTAAAAAGAAAAGGTTTTACATTTTTAAGTGGTTTTGGACCGTACCCGTCAACCCGGAATTCTCCCGTATTTTACACTTCAGTGTTGAGCATCGTGTAACTGACCCTTCGCTAAGCCCCGCCCTCCTTAGTTACTCTTGCTACGCCTGTGAAGCCTTCATGCCTGGCTCGTCTATTACAGTGTGTACGCGCAGGTGTCAAGACATTCCCAGGGATATAATCAGTCATTTTTGGCGAACAGGTGAGATATCGGAGAAAGCCAGACAAAAAAAAGGACTGCAGTATACATTACAGGGGTATATTCACGGCATAATAGGCAACCAATTTGAGAATAATTCAATCAAAATTGAAGCTACTTTAGTCTAGCCGCATCATACGCTAACCATTCAACAGATTAGTTGAATTAGTAGAGGTGAAATGTAAAATAATTTTGATAATAACTAATTAAATCGTGGTTTCTCTATTTTTAGCCAAAAGCCTGATAGATTAATTGTTGTGCAATAAAATATAGCGTTACTAACACGCATGACAGTGCTTTTACATCATTCATCCAAGAACAGCCAAAAAGGGGAAACCAGGGCTGGAGTGGGACTCTTTTTCAGCCCTGGAGTTTCAAGCCTTAGACCGGCCCACCTCACTTCACGACTGACTATATTAAAATAAGGTCATTTCCAATTCAGTTTCTAATTACACTATCACGTTTTTTTTTTTTGTTGTTTTTTTGTTTTGTTTTTTGAGAAAACAGCTGCTTTAGAACTTTAAATGTTCAAAAACCCTAACAGTATTATATGTCTTAACAATAAAACTATAATTAAAAAAAAAAAAAAACATACTCAGACAAGAATCAAACCCGGGTCGGCGGCGTCGTAATCTAACGTGCTAACCATTGGACCACAACAGTTGTATATGTAGGACTGACTCATCTGACTAATATCATCATTAACCTGAAGGCTGGTTATATATAAAAATAGCAGAGCTGCGGTAAAATAATGAATAAGAAGACTGTAGTCAAGTAAGTAAATAAATTAATTTAAAAAGTGTGACTGCTGAGAGCAACAGATTCTGGAGCTAGGGACACCGGCCCTCGCGGCCAAAAAACGCACCGGCCCACCGGGAATTCTCCCGGTCCTCCCGATTAGCCAATCCGGGCCTGGGGGAAACTGATGGATTTGTGCCGCATATTAGCATCATTGACTTATAACAATGTACACCTATCCCTGTCTGTATGTATGTTTGTGTGCTCTTTATACCGTTTCTATTCTAACTCTAATTTTTCCCTACCAGCAAATTTTAATCCGACACCAAATATAAAAGCAGAAACTAACCCACTAAAGTCATCACCAATGACAAAATCTCCAAAAGACGGATGAAAACATCGGTGAATTGTAGCTCTGACATGGACATGAGGGATATAAATGACTGAAAAACAGCTGCGGGTGAAGTATATTGATTGCAAGTGCTCAGTTTGTGATCATATCTCTGTTTTGCTCTGTTGATTTGTAATTTCTAATATTCGTAGCTTGATACAGATGGATTTATGACTGCTGTTAGTATGACTACTATTGCGAGGGCTTAAACGGAGCAGTGCTCTTAATATAGAGCAAAAAAAAAAGAAAAAGCAAAAGACCGCTGGGAAACATAACCTGCTTTGTGTTTTTGTAGGAAACAAAGTTTAGATCTGTTTAGGGTAAGAGGTGTGTGAGTTATTGCCGTCTGTCACTGAATGTGTCAGGAACATCAAAACAAAACTAACTTAACTCCGCTCCTTTAGCGCCCCTCACAGAGCTTGATCCATGCTGGCATTTCTCCCCTTGGGTTATACGTTTTGAAAAGGGAAAAAATTCCACCACCCTGTCCAAACTTTTAGGATACCGGGTATTAGAAGCCACGATTGGTGGGTGGTGGTTTTTGGGTGTGGCTTATCATAGGGTCAATTGTTAGTGCTCTAAACCAATGGCGTTGACTATTGTGTAATTGACAGTGCTCTAAACCAATGGCATTGACTATTGAGTAATTGACAGTGCTCTAAAACAAAGGCTTTGAGCGTTGTGTGTTTGACAGCACTCCAATCCAATGGCATTGACTATTGTGTAATTGACAGTGCTCTATACCAATGGCATTGACTATTGTGTAATTGACAGTGCTCTATACCAATGGCATTGACTATTGTGTAATTGACAGTGCTCTATACCAATGGCATTGACTATTGTGTAATTGACAGTGCTCTATACCAATGGCATTGACTATTGTGTAATTGACAGTGCTCTATACCAATGGCATTGACTATTGTGTAATTGACAGTGCTCTATACCAATGGCGTTGACTATTGTGTAATTGACAGTGCTCTATACCAATGGCATTGACTATTGTGTAATTGACAGTGCTCTATACCAATGGCATTGACTATTGTGTAATTGACAGTGCTCTATACCAATGGCATTGACTATTGTGTAATTCACAGTGCTCTAAACCAATGGCATTGACTATTGAGTAATTGACAGTGCTCTAAAACAATGGCATTGACTATTGTGTAATTGACAGTGCTCTAAAACAAAGGCTTTGAGTGTTGTGTGATTGACAGCACTCCAATCCAATGGCATTGACTATTGTGTAATTGACAGTGCTCTATACCAATGGCATTGACTATTGTGTAATTGACAGTGCTCTATACCAATGGCATTGACTATTGTGTAATTGACAGTGCTCTAAAACAATGGCATTGACTATTGTGTAATTGACAGTGCTCTAAAACAATGGCGTTGACTATTGTGTAATTGACAGTGCTCTAAACCAATGGCATTGAGTGTTGTGTAATTGACAGCGCTCTAAACCAATGGCATTGAGTGTTGTTTAATTGACAGTGCTCTAATCCAATGGTGTTGAGTGTTGTCTAATTGACAGCGCTTCAATCCAATGGCGTTGAGTGTTGTGTAATTGACAGCACTTTAGTCCAACAGCATTGAGCATTGTGAAATTGACAGCACTTTAATCCAATAGCATTGTACCATAAATGTACAGGATTTTTCAGTGAATTATCAGGCGAGCCATGCATATTCTTGGGGGACCACTGCTACCCCTCTAATACCACCCCTTTAATAATTCAAACGATATTAAACTGGCACACAGACGCCTTTTCTCCACGGCAGTCCTCATCAAACCACTTCCCGTTGGCCGTACTGGACAGGACAGCGCAGTTGTGTGTGCGTCCTCCATCAGGCTGGTGTGTAATCTCCGATTCCCAGTTCTTAAAGCGTATTGGTGAGCCTGTCAAGTCTATCCACTCACCCTCCTTTATCATGTCATTGACCCCCAGCCAGATGTGTGTTTCTGGGCCGACGGTCTGCTGGACGTACTCCTGGAGCTGGTCGTTTTCATGGCCGGACATTGGAGTGCTGAGAATCCCTCCTTTAGCAATGCAATCATCATTGGCCGAGTGGAAATCTTTCTTCACTGTGTCCACAAGAAAGCATTTGCCTGGGATCTTGAAGCCTTTTAGACACACTGAAAAGGGATGGAGAGGAGAAAGTATAACGGATGTTTGTCTGATCGCTACAATGACTGAGAGAGCTTAATGTGCTGGTATTTACTTATTTGAGCCTGAATGTGTGAATCGTGATCAAACCTGTTTGTAAGGCCTGTTGTTCCTTCAGCAGATTGAGATCCTGAATGATCTGATCGATCTGTTTCTTCAGCTCTTCAATAGCAGCGCTGTTCGACTCTTTTTACCACACAAGGACAGAAATGACACAAGAATTTACATAAGGTCAGTCTGAATCGAAATTTGCAGCTAGATGGAAAGCTCTGCATTTATGCTGGCTTGAGAGAGCCTTGTCTAGTACATACTTAAGAAAAACAGAATGATTTAGCTTAGCAATATATTGACACATGAATGAAAGAGATAGTTCACCCGAAAACAAACACGTAGTCACTTTGAAGTGGTTCCAGACCTTTATGAGTTTCTTTCCTCTGTTGAGGACAAAATAATATACTGCCACAGTTATATCCCCCTGCAGCCCAAGACCGGTTACTCACTGAAGATAAGCAGGGCTGAGCCTGGTCAGTATCTGGATGGGAGACCACATGGGAAAACTACGTTGCTGTTGTTAGAGAGGCCAGCAGGGGGCGCTCAACCTGTGGTCTGTGTGAGTCCTAAAGCCCCAAGTGAAGGGGACACTACACCGTCAGTGAGTGCCGTCTTTCGGATGAGACGTTAAACCCAGGTCCTGACTCTCTGTGGTCATTAAGAATCCCATGGCACTTCTCGTAAAGAGCAGGGGTGTAGCCCCGGTGTTCTGGCCAAAGTCCCTCAACCAGCCCTTACAATCATGGCCTCCCAATCATCCCCTTCTACTGAAGTGGCTCTATCGTGTTTGAATATATCTCAGTTTTCTGAGCACACTTCATTATTATTGTTCATTTATTGCTTTGCTGGAGATTAGAACTGAATTTAGAAATAGTTCTGAAGCAAATCTTTGTGCTTAACAAACTAAATTAAATATGTGGGCTAATAGATGTGTTCAGTGGAGTGAGTTTCCACCGTTTCCTCCACCAAAGTAAAGGAGTAAAGAGTGAAAGTAAAGAGAAAGTAAAGAGGCTGAATGAAGGAGGCTCGTTCTTTATCCTCTGGCTGCAGATGCTCTGTTTAACTCTTTTCTCGCTAGTGAAGCGTTCAGTTTTTACACTTATAAACTCCGCCATGTATGTAGCAAATGCGGTGCGACACAACTGACTCTTAAGGGAATGAGAGATGAGACTTTGATTGGTTTAATGCAGGTTATGCTCGAAACACACCCAGAACTCATTAGGACAGGGGTCATCAAACTTGTTTCTGGAGGGCCCGTGTCCTGCACATTTTAGCTCCAACCCTAATCAAACACACCTGAACAAGCTAATCAAGGTCTTACTAGGTATAATTGAAACATCCAGGCAGGTGTGTTGAGGCAAGTTGGAGCTAAACCCTGCAGGGACACCGGCCCTCCAGGACCGAGATTGGTGACCCCTGCTTTAGGAGAATAAGCTCAACCCTGTTAGACCATGCGCCAGGAGCAGAGTGTATTTTTCTCTCCTTAAAATAGCAAAAGTGGATTAATTTTTTTGCGCCATGTGTGTTTTAGACTTTGCGTTTAGATCATTTAAATAGAGCCCTTTGAATAAAACGAAAATCATAAGTCTGACCAGTTCTAAAAGACATAGCAACATATTTCAGATTAGCCTGAAGAGCACTAGCATGTTTGGTGGTTTAAAGCTCTAGGAAGGGAAGTGTTTAGAAACATAGGTCAGAATCATAGATATATACACTAGATGTCGCCTGGCCTATTGTTGTCTATTGGACGGAATGCGTCAATAGCGCCGCCATCTTGCTACAGGGTAGCGCTCCTTTGAAATGAATGCGGGACCAAGGTACAGTGGAGGACTGTGGCCATCCAAAGCCAGAGATATACACATATACACATATATCTGTGATCGGGAGTTTTCCTGGATGTTAGTATGTAATTTTTTTTTTCTAATTACGAACATTTTAATTTTACATCACTTTTCTACATTGATGGATCAGTGACCGCACGTGCATTCCTGACAAAAAGCTTGTGTTTGTGTGTACAGAAATGTACTATCCACCCTCCCTATTAAATTTGATCTAATAATGTCCTGAAACACAGCTCCTCTACTGCTTTCACTTCTCATACTGACGGAGGGAGCGATTCGCTTGTGAATGAATCCCCCCGAACGACTCTTTCACTAACGTTAGCCGACAATAATACAAGTTTCTGGCAGCGCAGCATCTCGTTGTCATATTTCTTTTGCATTGTTTGCTGGTTTTATTCAACAAAACTAGCATAAGCCGAGTGTTTAGTGCGAGTTGCCGCTGCTTTGCCGTATGGTGAATGCAGTAAGTGACTGTTATCATCAATAACGTTACCTGATTAGCACAAAAGTTCAGAACATAAAAAACAGAAAAAAACATAATATTACCTATGAAATGTTCTGCCTTTGTTTTCTTTGTTTGCTCGTTACTACACCCGTAGACAGCGCTAAAGTCCCGCATCTTCACGTAATAACACTGTCTTGACTAGTGCGGTTGAATGACATTTGTCCTGGGAGCACTGTACCAATGTGGCGGCGCTATTGACGCATGCTCAGGGTCCCTATGCGATATCTAGTGTATATATATATGGGTCAGAATAATCTGATATTCAATATAATGGCTTCCCCAAGGCAACATAATAATCATTTACTTCAGAGATGCATCAAGTGTTTGGTGTCAAATGTAATGTTTAAAGTGTGTTTACCTTTTTTCCCGTTCTTCCTCTTTGTCAGGCTCTGCTCAGGACTGGACTTCACCAAACAAATGACGCACAAAAGAAACTTGACAGCTTTGAGATCCATTTTTTCCTCAGCGTATGTGCAGCCTGAGAGAGCAAAACAACAGTAATCTGTTCTTCTGAAGAGAACCTGCCCCAAAAACAGCAGGACCAACACATGATTTCAATTTCACAGCCTGTTTAACGGAGCACAAGCCTGCTCTCTGCCAACAGTGCTGTACTGCAATGATACTTATTTACTGTACACTAACTAGTACTATAGTCTTGCTTTGCACTGCATCCCTTTATATCAGTGAATGAGCAGTTTTCATATACCCTCATTATTTTTGTTATTGTTTATTCTGTATATGATCACTTGTGGTCTGATCATAAATGTGATTTAGTGTCTAAGTAGTGCACTATTTAGGCTACATGTGGTTAATGATGTATAAACTCTATAAGTGTGGAGATTATACACTGACAGGCACTTGGCAATCGGAGAATAATTCAAAACAAACATGGTGTATTATGGCAGTCAGATATTAACATGAACTTTGTTCTCAGTGCACTTTTTAATGCAACTTGAAGGTCCTGTGAAAATAAATATAGTTTTTTTTAGATGTCAGAATTGGTATGTTAGTTATAGAATATCTATAAGCTAGAACACATTTGCATTTAGAAGATATAGGCTTGATATAAACACTAAAGCTTGCAGTTTGTCAGTTGCGTCCAAAAAATGGATAGATTCTTTCACCTCATTTCACCTAACGTTTATCATCAAATCTTCTGACCAATCACATGCTCTCTAGTGTGTGATATGCCCCGCCCCCTTCTTCTCATTTGCTTTTCAGTTGATTAAAGTCCAGCATCTTCACATTGGCTTTGGTCTTGACTCGTGCGGTTGATTGACTTGTGTCCCGGGAGCACTTTACAAATGTGGCGGCGCTATCAACGCATACTCAGGGTCCGTACACAATATCTAGTGTATATATCTAAGGGAGAGAACCCCAGACACTTCCTCCAGCTCCTCTGGAGGGATCCCAAGGCGTTCCCAGGCCAACCAAGAGACCAGTCAGTCCAGCGTGTCCTGGGTCTTCCCCGAGGCCTCCTCCCGGTGGGACATGCCTGGAACACCTCCCTAGGTAGGAAGGCATCCGAAACAGATGCAAAGCCACCTCAGCTGACTTCTCTCAATGTGGAGAAGCAGCAGCTCTACTCTGAGCTTCTCCCGGGTGACTGAGCTCCCCACCTTATCTATAAGGGTATTCATTATTAATTACTTTCAAGACTTTTATTGTAGGACAAGGTAGTACATCATGAGCACTCATTTGTCACAAAATGAAGGCATTATTATTACTCCAGGTGTTGCGAACACTTATTTTTTTGCTGTAAAGCAGAAGATAATCAGATCAATGCAATGTTAAATATATATTTTATTTTTTGAAAAGTAAAAATAAAAGTAAGAAACATACATTGCAATAGTTTATACATCGTATACAAAGCTGTAAGACACAACATTAATGTCCAGTCATTATTAGTGTAACACAAAGAACAGACTAAACCTCTGGAATAGCGGACTGGTCATTAATTAGCACGTTATCTCGTTACGTATTCAACTGAATAGGCACACAAGCAGATCTTACATTCAAACTGTAATACAATCTGACCAGCATGTAGATTTGTTTAATAAGGCTCAACGTGTCTCAAGTCATGAAAATACAGTAACAGGTCGTTTTTTTTTCCCCATCAGACTGAATCAATAATATCCAGCTGCAGGCCCGCAGAACCACACACGTTTTAGGCGCACACACGATCTAGGCAAACCATATGGTTACGACGGATGTAATGTTTTTAACATCTTCTCGGACATTGTCATCAATATATTTTATATATATTGTTAATAAATATTGTACACAATAAACAATAGTGTTTACTATTTCACAAATATTGCGATCGAGATGGGCGAATGGGGAACAATGTTTCCGATCGCCATATCTGACTGAGTCAATATAGCAGACACTTATTTGCTGGCCTTGCTAAATGATCTAAATTGGACAGGTTTAATTCATATAATGGATTCATTTATAATGAAGGAAATAATAGTAAGCTAATATAGGCAATAATACATCTTTATATTTAATAAAAATATTAATAAATGTATAACACTATATTAATATTTTACTCAAGCGATTTAATAGTATTTATTTGCATAATTTTCTAATAACTTTTTAATGAATGATTTTCCACATTAAATACTATAGTAATTTATAGTAAGCAGTATATTGTTTTTAAACCATAAAGTACTGGTAATTTGTTGTAACTATAGGAGCAACAAATTTAGCAATATAAACAAATTAGCTGTTAAAAAATAATTAAATAATTTTATATATATATATATATATATATATATATATATATATATATATATATATATATATTACTAACAGTTGCTACAGTTTAGTAAAATATAGTTTAAATTAAAATCAGATAATCAGTTAAGATAATCAGTTTATAATTAGGTCTATATTACATATTGTTTAAATGATTAACTATAGTAATTAGTTTTAATGTGACACATTATTGTTTGCTTTTATATTTTACAACAAAACGATTTTAACCAAGAATGATAATATTATGATCCTGAATGAGCTTATTTTTATTTACATAATTTGAGTTCAGAAACTGCAGAGATGTTAAAATAATCGTTACTATATAATAAGGAAATAATGACTGAAATGGGAAACCATATTTATAAGTATTCAATAGGTGGCGATAATGCTCCTAAGTCGTGAGTTAGTTACCATATATGGTTTGCCTAAATCGTGTGTGCTAGATTGTGCGTGCCTGAAATGTGTGTGGTTCTGCGGGTCTGCATCTCGACTGAATGGCTGCTCAGTGCATAGACTCAAACATACAGATTCCTCATCAGATCAGCAAAACCAGCGCTAAAGTGCCCCATTATGCTTCTCAGATATTAGCTTTCGTGTAATCTGAATGTAAAAGGGCTGTCAGTTGTAAAGTGATGACAAGCAAAGATATTTCTGCTAAAGGAGTTGATAAGGTAAAAAAAACTAAACAAAAAAAACATGACTTTTTGTTTTCTCATGAGCAGTGGCCGATTTAAGCATGGGGAATTTTGGTGATCGCCCAGGGCGGCATCTTTCTAGGGGCAACATGGGGAGATGGTGCAAAAAAAACGAGCCCCAGTAAGCTTTGAGATGCGATTTACTTTATGGAAGTGTATTAATTTTCAGTGGTAATCCCAGAGTAAAGATGTTGAGGGGCCATTCACATTTGGGCGTCTTTCGCAAGCGCAAGTTTGTTATTCTCTATGTGCAACTGAAAAACACTGGTGAAAGCAAACTGACACATGCGCGCAGAAAACCTGACCACTCAGAGCAGAGTATGGCTATCAGACCATTCAGAGCATAATAAAGCCATCTGACCAATTGGAGAAGAGTTAAGTCATCTGACCAATCAGAGCAGAGTAAAGCATTCTGACCAATCAGAGAAGTGTATAGTCATCTGACAAATTAGAGCAGAATTTAGTCATCTGACCAATCAGAGCAGAGAACGACCACTGGACCAGACGGAGAAGATCCTTGAACCAACCAATGAGAAGCAGTGAGAAAACTGCTGATGCTGCAGTGGGGCTTATGAGAAAATAAAGGTTCTATTAGTTTATATTGATGAATATAAACCTGTTGTAAGAGATCTCTGAATCTAAACTGAAAACATTTAAACTAGCATAACAGGGCACTTTTAAAGGCAAACTCGCTGTAGTTAAGCTCTTCTTATGAGTTGAAGGGATGTTTGGTGAAATAAGGCATTAAAAGTAGATTCACTGTTAGAGTTCAGTCGATCTGAGAAATACAGCATGTAAAGAAAGAAAAGAGAACACAACACACAACTAATCAACCCTTAGGATTGGAACTACAATATCCCATGATGACTCAACAGTGATACTTGTTGAAGATCAGTGGCTCTCAGAGGGAATAAATGGTGCAAAACAGAGCAGAAATTATCATACAAAAGCCAAAATGACTAAAACTCATCACATCGTTTCATTAATGTAAGAGAAATTAAGAGACTCAGTCCAAACAATTGGTCAAATGCATCAAATAACAGATGCAAAATAGATTAAGCTTCACTTCATCCATTCAAGTTATTTAGGTATAATTATTAGGTTTTTATTTTTACATTTTTAATTAAATTAAATTAATAACATTTCTATTCAACACAGGCGCATTCTGAAAACTTAGTCCTGTGTACGTTTCTGGAGACCGCAAATTACGTAGTCAGAGGTATATATGGCTGCATTTCATTTTTTTAATTGAACGCTACGGGGCGGAATGACGCCGTTCCTTTTTACGCTTACCAACTGACCGCTTACCTCCGTGTGGATGACTTTCTCGCTGCGACCAGTTTGTCTAGTTAGCTCGTCATGTAAATCGGCGGACTTGCGATGCAGAGAGTAGTTGACCATGATGATGGGGTTCGAGTCTGGTGAACAACGGTTCCAGAAAGCAGGCAAGACAAAAACAGAATCCAAAATAATATAAACAAGTGAATAACAGGGTAAAAATGTAGTGAAATCTGAAAGTGTTGTGTAAATCAGACGGGAGCTTTTTTTTCTGGATTGCTTTTGAAAATTGTTGGTTGGGTTTAGGGAAGTGGGTGGGCGGGTCAATCGATAAAATTGGTTGGGTTTAGGGAAGGAGAGTGGGTCAGTCGATTGGTCAGTCAGTCAGTCAGTCATTCAGTTAGTCAACAGCGGCCTCTGGTGGGTTTACGTGAGAACAGCATGCGCGAATGGCACTCGCGAGAGAAATTTGAGATATAAAAAGTATACACAGCGGCCTCTTGATCTCAACGAACATCGTGGGACGTATTTCGCGGCCTCTAGAAACGTATATAGAGGTACGTTTTCAGAATGGGACTGGTTAGTTATTATCATCCAAAAGTTTCCATAGTAACACAATAATTTTAATGCAAGTCGTTAAAACAATTGGTGAAAGTTTTACTATTTGCGTGCTGTTATATTTTAATTGTAATAATACATACATAATATTAGCACAACCATTGGTTGAGAACCACTGATTTCAATCATACAGTACTTGGATAAATGAACGCTTACCATGGGATGTTAATAACTTCATAAACCCACATCTCTCTCTCTCTCTCAGTCTTCATTAGTACTGTCCGCCCTAATGGAGCAGGCCTTTCATAACATGAGTAACATAACATGAAGCCTTCCAGTGTCGTTTACCTCTACTTATTTTATCAGTACAAAAACAATCTGTTATGTTACTCACAACTGCTAAACTGCTACTTTAACTTATTAAATTCATTGAGATTTTCAAAATGCATCGCTGTTCTCTCTCTTGTGGCTCAGTTTTAAACGGCAGACAGCGCTTCAATATTATGTTTGCACACAATTCCTTACAAACACAACTTGAACCTAAAAGTATTACAAATGAAGTTCGAAAAATGTACAACTTACAAGAGTTTTCGTAGCAACTTTTACATTCATCTTCTAACTTAATACCTGATTTTCTTGCAAGCATTTCAGTTATGGTATGATTAGCCTAGAGCGTCGTCTGCTGTTAAAACTAGCCTAGAGCGCTGTTTGTTGCTAAACTAGCCTAGAGCACCATCTGCTGATAAAAACTGGTCTAGAGCGAGAATTTTCAAACTGTGGGGCGCCAGCACTAGAGTGAATCTGATTAGTGTCAGCTGCTCCACGTCTAACTATCAGGCACCTGTAGAGTTAATGTGTTTGAGTAAAATATATACAAATAAAATGGAGCGGGTGCTTTTTAAAAATAATGATGGTGAATGAAAGTAAAATCGGTAAGTCGTCTGACAAAAAAGTGCCGTTCTGGATCTTTCACTTACTTCAAAGACACTACTGACTACATTTACATGGACATCTGTAATCTAGTTATTTGCCTTAATAGACAATAATATAATTAAGGTGTCTACATGAAGTGCTTTTTGAATGTTGCATTACCAAGCTACACACGTTTCCTGTAGAGTTTCCTGTAATTTTGGGTGACTTTAACTGCAGTTCGGCAGTTTCACTTTCGCTCATGAACATTTCATTTATGCTCCCATGACAAACTGGGGTATTCGACGCAAATAAGGAGTGAGGACTGGTGGAAGAGTGTTGTTTCAATGGAATTTAATACGGCACGCCGAATGGAAGGAAAAAACTTACCCATTTTGCAATGTGTGTGCGCGGTCCTTTACTGACAGCCGCATGTGTGGATCTTGTCAAAAAATATGGCGAAAGAAGTGAGAGTAAAATTAGCCAAACAAAACCCCTGGTATAGAGCATCATCTGCTGTTATAAACGGCCCGAGAGCGCCATCTGCTGTTAAAAACTGGTCTAGAACCTCATCTGCTGTTAAAACTAGCCTAGAGCGCCATCTGCTGTTAAAACTTGCCTAGAGTGCCATCTGCTGTTATAAACTGCCCTAGAGCACCATCTGCTGTTAAAACTAGCCTAGAGCGCCATCTGCTGTTAAAACTAGCCTAGAGCGCCATATGCTGTTAAAACTAGCCTAGAGCGCCATCTGCTGTTAAAACTAGCCTAGAGTGCCCTCTGCTGTTATAACTGCCCTTGAGCACCATCTGCTGTTAAAACTAGCCTAGAGCGCCATATGCTGTTAAAACTAGCCTAGAGCGCCATCTGCTGTTAAAACTAGCCTAGAGTGCCCTCTGCTGTTATAACTGCCCTAGAGCGCCATCTGCTGTTAAAACTAGCCTAGAGCACCATCTGCTGTTAAAACTAGCCTAGAGCACCATCTGCTGTTAAAACTTGCCTAGAGCGCCATCTGCTGTTAAAACTTGCCTAGAGCGCCATCTGCTGTTATAAACTGCCCTAGAGCGCCATCTGCTGTTAAAAGTAGCCTAGAGCGTCATCTGCTGTTAAAACTAGCCTATTTTGTCCTTTGGGAAGCAACTGAATCATTGAAAGTTTGGTGTTGTTAACAAAATGAAGGAAGATTTTGATTTCACGTAGACTTTAAAAACTTAGCTCAGATTAGATATAAGACAGAATAGCGATGCTTTCTCATAATCTCAGAATGGATTTCTCAAATGATTTTTGGCCCGAGCTCCAATCAGAATAAAAAACGGTTTTATCATCTGCTGCCCTTCTTAAATAATTTGACTTATTTATATATAAACTGAGATGATCCAGAAGTCTTGCACATACAGACAAAATCACCAACTTCTGCCGGTGCCCAGCTGATTTTACAACTGGCACAAGTCCTCAAATACAGATCTGGAAACACACAAACACTGAATACTGCAAACCTGTGCTGAAAAACATGCAGAGAAGAACAGAAGAGGTGCAGATCAGGCCAAACATGTCATGCAATCTGAGGAACACAGTGAACCGAACTCCTGCAGGGACGATTGTGAAACCGCAGACCACAGGAGACCCTCCTCTCTCTAGGTGGGACAGAGAACTGAGAAAGAGAAACCACAGTCAAACTCTTGTGTATGCAGTTGAAGTCAGAATTATTCGCCCTCTTGTTTATTTCCCCAACTTCTGTTTAACGGAGAGCAGATTTTTTTCAACACATTTCTAAACACAATAGTTTTAATAACTCATTTCTTTTCTCTTTGACATGATGACAGTAAATAATATTTGACTAGATATTTTTCAAGACACTTCTATACAGCTTAAAGTGACATTTAAAGGCTTAACTAGGGTAATTAGGTTAACTAGGCAGGTTAGGGTAATGAGGGAAATTATTATATAACAATGGTTTGTTCTGTAGACTATTGAAAGCTTGAAGGGGCTAATAATTTTGACCTTAAAATGGTTTTAAAAAGTTAATCTTCTATTAATTAATTAATTCTATTAATATTCAATAAATAAAACAAATCAGACTTTCTCCAGAAGAAAAAAATATTATTAGACATACTGTGAAAGTTTCCTTGCTCTGTTAAACATCATTTGGGAAATATAAAAAATAAAATTAAAAGGGGGTCGAATAATTCTGATTTTAACTATATAAGAAAAACAATGTAGTGTAAATGGTGCCTCAGGTGAAATGCTTCTAAGGTTAGTGTATCTTTTGGGTCGTTGGAAACAAGTCGTTTTTGATTTTCGTTTTAAAATTTAAAAATTAAAATTGAACTTTAACGCGTTTTTTGATTTTCGTTTTTGAATTTTAAAACGAAAATCTAAAAATTGCTAGTTTTTCTTTTTCATGGTAAAAAACTAAAAAACTAAATAAAAAAAATAAAAATTACCAGAAAACCAAACAAATAAAGGCTTGCTTTTTCATATTCAGAAAGCAGATAGGCCGACTCATTCACGGTGATGCAATGCTGACAAGCTAGCCTACTATAGGCTATTATTTTCCCCACTTAATAATGTTATATAAGATATTTTCTTGCTATTTTGTTAAGGCATTTTCCTCAGTAAGACAATATATTTCTCATATAAGCGCCGGTTATAGGCTATATATTTATTTTTTGTTAGCATGTTTTATATGAAACAACCTTTATTTTGACATTACATGTTAGCATTAGGCTGCTTTACCGAACACTTTTCTGAAAAGAAAGTTTTAATATTGGTAAAACCATAATACTTCCAGTTCCTGAAGTTTTACCAGGAATCATTTCAGGTGATAGAGGCATTATTACAGTTGTTCGTTATGCACATTTCAATAAGTCAAAGTATTTAAAGAAATAAATTAACAATTAATTTTATCTGAAAGAAGGCATGCTGCGTAAACACCTGACTATCACTAAGCTTGCAGATGAGTTGCATGCGTCATCACCGTGCTACAGTGGGTCTACGTAACTATAACGCAGAGAGATGAGCAATGATTTCAAACGAATGCCCAATGTTACTGTCACTGCTGAAGTGGAAGTAATTTTAACAATAAACGTTATTATCAGAAAACTGTTTAGCAATGCAAATAATACATATATCATTAATTATGCAGTTCCATTTAACCAGCTTCAGTGAGGAAAATATGTATTAACAAAATCCTGTTATTACAAGAAAATACCTTTTATAACATTATTAGGTGGGAAAAATAATAGCCTATAGTAGGTTAGCAGGTCAGCATTGCATCACCATGAACGAGAAAAGAACAAGTCTTTATTCGTTTAGTTTTCTGGTAATTTTATTTTTTGTTATTTGAAATAAAATATGAAAATCAAAAAAATTTTGAATTTTTTTTAAAATTTGTTTTTCACCATAAAAGAGAAAATCGAGACGTCTTTTGATTTTCGTTTTAAATTTGAAAGCGTTATCAGAAGTTTAACAGTGTTGTTGCTGAAGTTGTGTGACTGTGTGTAGTGTGTTTATTGACTATGTTAAGCTTTTTACCTCTGACAGCTGTAGACATACAAATTCATGAAGGCTATCAAATGTCATTTACATTTAGCTGACAGTCTAGCCTGTAAAATATGTGAATCATCTGTTCCTGATCTGCATGCATTTCTGTCCTTACCTTTGAGGATGTAATCTGTGAGGAGGCTTGGGACTTTATCGCTGTCGTCTCTCATGGCTTCTAAAACTGCAGAAGAGCAAAAGTTAGCACTGATATATGCTAGTTTATACAGTCTGTACAAATGATCTACAGCAGTGGTTCTCAAAATGGGGGTCGGGACCCCCCAGGAGGTCATGAGACAATAAAGCCTAGTTTATACTTCTGCGTCAAGTGACCAGCGTAACTCACGGCGCAGGCAACGCGCGTAGCTGTGCATTTATACTTCTGCGCGCTGTCTCTGTTGCTCTGCAATACACTTCCGGAATGCTAGTTGGCAGTGAGGTGTAAATGTTCCTCTGTGTCGAGTTTTTCGCTTCTCCTGAACACTTCCTGGATGTACAAGTGGCTCAAACTCGCTCATTTTGAGGCAGGAAATGGTGGACGTGCAACAACTTTAACTCTGAGGTAAACACAAAACAAAACTTTCCATCCGGAGCTCCTTCACGGGACTCCACACTTGTAAACTATCACTCGTGCCATTCGCGCGGCTCTCGGTCCCGCCCAGACTTGTCAGCGCTACCAAGCCGACCAATCACAGAGCTTGCGCTACACGTTGTTGCGACGTGTAGTTACATTTTTTGAGAGGTGCACGTCAGTGACACCGACGGCCATGGCGAAGGGCTACGCGCCGTAGCATACACCGGTGTTTGACGCAGAAGTATAAATCAGCCTTAACAGGGGGTCGCTTAGGGATTTCCAGAAATAAAATGCATTTTATTAAACTACTAAAATTACCATACTTTACCCCTAACCTACAGAAGAAAAACAAATAGTAGTGACAAGTTACAATATAAAAAACACGACGCAAATAAAAAGCCATCAGCCTTTCCATTTCCTGAGATCCCTGAGGTGATTATGTAATATTAAACACACAGCAGATTGATTTTAAGGCACCAGGTTAAACTTTCTGACCTTTTTACGACACTCATGTACATTAAACATAAATACAGGCCCCAACTGAACACGGAGGCTGGCGTTCAGTAAAATTTCAGAAACATGCTAAGTGAACATTCAAGTTCAGATATTCTGCTTTGAAAATGTGCGTTACGTGCCACAATGGCTGTCTTAAACCTCCCAATGCCAGTTCGGCCAATTTTATTTCAGCAGCCTGGGTTGCCTTGGTGTGATTCATTCAGTCAGGAAGGCTCTCAAAGCATGTGTCCGTGACGAAAAATGCAACCTCCAGTGTACAGCAGTGGCTTCCAAAATGAGACACAGATTCAGAGTTCCACATGAGGTGGTTATTAATTGGCAAATACCATAAACATTACAAATGTAAACATTAGGTGAGCAGGTCACATTGTAACCCTGTATCCTAACAACACGCTACGTGATGTAATTTTCAGTGATAAGCAATTGGGCTGTTTGCACCGGACGAAAAACGACAGACAGGGTCTAATTTGTGCCGGAACACACCGGATCCGGATCTGGCACCTCTGAAAACTCATCCGGCACCTAATTTTACCAATCGCCCTCCTCAACCGCGTGCGCTGTTCACTTTCAGTTTCTTCTGCGACTCCCCAACCCTCTTGACTTTCGTCCGCGACAACCCCCCTCTCTTCACTTTCATCCTTTTTCTGCAACACCCCCACCCCTCCCTCCCACTCTCCACTTTTGTGTGCGACACCTCTCCATCCTCAGGTATCACGCTGGATCCGTTACCTCACGTCTGTTCCGGGACCTCGCAATTTACAAATTAGGCACTGATGACAGACATTTAAATTCAGCCATTCAGAACCACAGAATATACATTTGAGGTGTTGTTTGTGACAAAAACGCCTTTTAATATGGAAAATATTTCTTCTATCGCGTGCTGTTGCTTAGAACATGACTGAAATCAGAATTTTTTGGTGTCGTCAATCTGGCAACCTGCTTTTGAATGTGTTTTAATCCAGGAATGCAATACCTAGTTCAACCACTGGGTGTCAAACTTGCATGCTGCACCTTAGAGATTGTTTTTATGCGCTATTTCAAAATGCTCATCCTAACAGGTGAATGGAAACACAGCTGCTGTCTCTTCAAATTGATCTGGTCTTTTATAAAATACTGTGATCTCTCATAGCTTCCAAAACTGCAGAAGAGCAAATGTTAACAATGGTATACGCTAACATACAGAAATATATAGCAGATTATTTAAATCAAAAAGCATTTGGTCTTACTTTTGGTAAAGATCTGAAGGTCTTGGACTGACGGTGGACCGTCTCTCCTCTCGTAAGGAATGACTGTTGTTACATACTGAATAAAAGAAGAGCAGAGATGAGCGAGTTAAACATCACTGAGTAATTGCTGATCATTCCACAGGCATGATCTGTCTTAACACACAGCATGTTTTCTCTGATTCACTATAGCAAGCCATTTTAACATTTAAAACAAAACAAAAAAATATATATATACTGTATATATATATATATATATATATATATATATATATATATATATATATATAAGTAAAACTTTCATGATATAGTTGCTTATTTTTTATATAATGGTATCTATTAAGTACTACGACTACTCCATTAGCCACTATTGCATTTCATAGGTACTAATACCCTTTCGAAAAACATTTTTTAGACAGTAGTAATTTATTACTAGTGCGATATTTAAAGAGCACTAGTAGTGCTATTAAATAATTAATTATGTCTGACTGCATAAAAAAGAAAAGCTTCCATTTACAGACTTTTGCTTGTACTATTACTATTTTACAAGTACAACTACTATAAATATAGTATATTCTAGAATTCTATTTAAATATACATATATGCATGTGTGACGTGTACATATATATATATATATATATATATATATATATATATACATACACTCACCGGCCACTTTATTAGGTACACCTGTTCAACTGTGCTCGTTAATGCAAATTTCTACTCAGCCAATTACATGGCAGCAACTCAATGCATTTAGGCATGTAGACATGGTCAAGCTGCAGTTCAAGCTGAGCATCAGAATGAGGGAGGAAAGGAGATTTAGGTTACTTTAAACGTAGCATGGTTGTTGGTGCCAGACGGGCTGGTCTGAGTATTTCAGAAACTGCTGTGAGAACTGTGAGCAGCAGTTCTGTGGGCGCAAATCCCTTGTTAATGCCAGAGTTCAGGGGAGAATGGCCAGACTGGTTCCAGCTGATAGAAAGGCAACAATAACTCAAATAAGCACTTGTTACAACCGAGGTCTGCAGAAGAGCATCTCTGAACACACAACACGTCCAACCTTGAGGCGGATGGGCTACAGCAGCAGAATACCACACCGGGTGCCAACACGGTACTAGTAAGGTGTACCTAATAAATTGGTCAGTGAGTGTATACAGTGTGTGTGTGTGTGTGTGTGTGTGTGTGTGTGTGTGTGTGTGTGTATGTATGTATATATATATATATATATATATATATATATATATATATATATATATATATATATATATATATATATATATGTATATATGTATATATATATATATATATGTATATATATATATATATATATATATACAAAAATAACGCTTTATTTTTTTAAATTTTTTTTATTATTTTTTTATTTTTTATTTTTACACATATTTAATGTAAATACTTCCAATTTGTATTAAAATAGTCAAATTTAATTGTTAATCAGCACTAGACACTAATATTTATTTATTAGGTACTACTTCTTAATCTAGCTGTGATTAGTAACAATTGAGTTGTTACCTGTCGATGAGACATCAACTATTCTGTCACAAGTATATATTTCTAGATACTAGTAGCACTTTCAACAGATTCGACACTCGCAGAAAAGGAGGAAAGAGAAAGCAAGAATTAGAGACACCTGTTTCTCACCGCCCCCATTCCCAAAAGTGTGCCGAAAACCATTCTGAATAGCGGTCGAGATTCCCTCCATGCTGAAGCGCTACAAGCACAGAAGAGAAAAACAGAGGAGAAAGAGACCAGGACAGAAAGAATAGAGTGATTGAAATATAAAAATCACATCGACTAAAGTAAGAGACAGAGTTACAGAGCAAGAAGAAAGAGCTTGTCAAAACCTCCAACTCGCTCCATCTTTTACAAGTACTCAAGAGTAGTGAGTAGCAGTGGTGTGAAGTAACTAATTACAAATACTTTAACTACTGTAATTGAGTAAGTTCTTCTCAGGAATTGTATGTAGTTTTAAAAACATGTACT